ATAATTGTATACCTAACCCTGAATTGTACCCCATATACTTAAAATTAAAAATTAAAAAAGAAAAACAAAAAACAAAATAGGTTTCCAAATAGTTCAGAAATTCAGTGAACATTAATTACCAAACCCTTGTCATGTGCTGCACACTAAGTTATCCCTCTTGTTTTATAGTAAATACAGTTCTCGTGTTTGAGAACGAATATTCACCAATTAAACTGTAATTTTCTTCTCAGCAAAATGATATTGCTTTTTTCTACATTGTTCTTTTTTTGTAGATTTATTTTTAATTTTTAAATAGGGTCCTTTGTAAATCTTTCTTGAGGGAACAGGTATGGGAAATTAGCAAGTTTATTATATTCATCAGAACATTAGTAAAGAGCAGGAAAACCAAATCATTACCCTAAATGGGAAGGTAAAACAGAATAACTAAGAGTAAGATTCTAAGCAAATAGAAAGCACAAATCTTTCTTATTTGTTAGTTTAACTCATTCTTGGCCTCAACTTAAAGGTAGATCCCATGCTAAAGAGAGAAATTTGGGCCTCTTAGAAGCAATTTCAGAAAGGGCAAAGCTGATTTTTAATAGTGAGGTCGCAAGCCTTCCAGCAGCATAGGAAGTCCCTAGAACCACTTTTATCCCTGGAGCAAAGGGTCCCATTGCTAGAAGAGATATCCTTGTTCACTGTTCAGGATTTGGTAGTGACTACTATAGCTGCCCAAACTTCTGTTCAAGCAGCTGAAGTCAGTGTTAATGACTGCCTTGTTGGAGCCCAAAAGGTCCCCAAGAAAACTTCCTAAATAGTTCTTGGTGGGTTATCAGAAGTTGTGAAGAGACAGCTGGAGGTCCATACTTACTCGTTGAGTGGTCTCTAGCTCCCTGCTGCCAGGGACCCTAGGATCCTTGGATATGCCCCACTTCTAAACCTTTTCCTCTGTTTCCAGGGCTGGAGTCACAGTGAACTCAGAGCACGGTAATTCCAAACTATTGTTCTATATATATCCAAGGAAAACATGTAGACTTCATCTCTGTCTCTGAGTCTGTCCCGTGTTCCTTGACACAAACGAATACCCATACACAGGTACAGAAGTCGGGGAACATCACTGTGCGGCAAGTAAAATGGAATTCAGGGGTGAGCACTATTTTTCCCCATGAGATAACTTTTAGAAAAAATAAAAGTGTTCATCAGCATTTAAAAATTTTAAAATATTAAACCTCCCATCGAAAATAAAGAAAAAATAACTTTTTGAATTCCAAGATGGAGTTATGGAATTTATATCCCTATAATTCAGATTACCTACTTTGTTGAATGAATATGTTTTAAAAAATATGCACATACCAATTTTCACTGTCTGGAGAATGGCCCTCCTGAGACCCCATTCCACCATTATACAATATGTCCATGTAACAAACAAGCACAAGTATGTACCCCCCTGAATATAAAATAAAAATGGAAAAAATATGCAAGTACCTGGGTGTATTTAAAAAGCAGCCAAAGTAGCTTTTGTTTTTGAGCCTATGTCTGGAAACTGGGTCAGCATACAGGAGACAAGGGTAAAGATTTTCTTGGGAGCTTGTTTGGCACCAAGGTACCAGATGGATGCTACGTTTCCATTCAATTTTTAAATTTTCTGTCTTCTATGAACTCTCATAACTACAGGGGACTAAGTGGTTTAGAAGTTACTAAAAGTATAGTCTGGTTCAGGGGATAGTGAGCTATAGAAAAAGAGAAAATAAGATGTCAATACTTCAAATCTCAAACAACTTATCATGAAAGCATTTTAATAGTTTAAATACGATATCACAAGTTGAGTAGAGACCACCAGACCTACAGCTTAAGGTAAAGTTCATATGCAAATATTTCAAAGCATAATGAAATCATGTATTTCATTTACGCACAGAGCTAAGGCCCCAAAAAGCAGGGTATCTTTTTGAATATTTAAAAATATAATTTAGGATTTTGCACTTTCGGTTCTTGAAATTATAAAGGATCTCTTACAGGATGGGAATATGCTATTCACTATGGTTATAGCTAGAGTCCAGAGACTGTCTTAATTTCTTGTAATTATCCTGAACAACATATGTCTTGTCCCCAAGCCCCCACATGTGGCTGCGGAAACTTTTGCTGTTTTAGTTGCTTCTCTCCTGCCTTTGCAAAGAGGTAGTGTGGAATGCTGCCAATTTTTTTTTCTGTAAGGGTTCCTTTTGTGCCCAGGGCTGTGTATACTGCTATATATGTTTCATTTCATCTATCATTCAGGTCCAAAACCTACATATAGCTGATTAGCTATCTAAATGATCTGATCAGTATGTATGAACTGACTTTGATTCTTTGCATAGCTGTTAAGCTGTTTTATTCAGACTTGGGAGGCTTAGAGTGAGGATATGAAATAAATTGTAAATAAAACTAAAAAGAATAGTTTGGGAAGGAACAGCATGTCCTCAGGGGCCAAAATGCAAAGCAACATAAAATAATTTTTTGGTGATATAAAGTACAACACGTGTAGGATGGTAATGATAAATAAAATAAAATCAAGTAGTTTCAGAGTTTCCATATGCAGTATAATAAAAAAATGCTCTAAGACTGAGGCCTTTGGGGGATTGTGAGTATTTCCAGTAGCCTGACAATACAATTATTTCTATAATTTGGCATCAACCTTTTTTTTTTTTGAATCAGAGTCTCACTCCATCACCCAGGCTGGAGTGCAGTGGCATACTCACGGCCACCCCAGCATCGACTTGCTAGGCTCTGGTGATCCTTCTGCCTCAGCCTTCCAAGGAACTGGAACTATAGGCACACGCTATCATGTCAGGCTATATATTTTTTTATTATTTATTGTAGAGACAAGGTCTCACCAAGTTGCCCAGGCTGGTCTCGAACCCACGGGCTCAGACAATCCACTTGCCTCGGCCTCCCGAAGTGCTGAGATTACAGGCTGAGCCATTGAGCCCGGCCGGCATCAGCGTTTTGCCAGAAATTTTGCTTGGCAGTAGATCATCCTGGATTGGCTGAAGAAAGATAAGAATTAAGAAGTGAGTCAGGTGTGTTGCGTAGATAAGTCTGCTGCAGATGGCACTTCCTTTCCACAGCTCACTCCTTCCCACTCATGCATGTTAGAGAGAAGATTAGAATGTGTTCAATACAATTGATAGGATGATGGTTCAGAGCATTAGCTTTGGAGGTGAATACACCTGGGGTGATGCCCTATTCTTCTAATTCCTAACTGTATGACCTAGGGAAAGTTACTTAACTGATCTGTGCTTCATTTCCCTCATTTGTGAAGTTGAGACAGTAACAACTCCCTCACGGTGTTGTGAAGATTAATTGAGAAGCAGTTTCTGAGAGGTTGTGAATGTTCAATAAAGAGATAAATTCCTTCCCATTTTCACTGCCACTATTTTCTTTTCTTTTTTTTTGACACCCAAATCTCTTTTATTGGGGGGAATAGCCTCTCAGGGGGGGCCAGGGTCCTCACTGCACAGCTTGTGGTCAAGGTTTCTGTCTCATGCCCAGGAAGAATGAGGGACACGGACAGCCCAAAAGTGAGAAAGGAGGATTTATTGAGAGGACAGAGAAGCTCCCACAGTGGGAGGAGATCCGAAGGGGTTGCCCCGCCACTATTTTCTTTATCTCTTGTCTGATTAATTGCTGTCACTTCCATGTACCATTTATTTTTGAATCTAGGTATCACTCTGTCTTTCAGGCTGGAGTGCAGTGGCATGATCATGGCTCACCTCAGCCTCAACCTTTTGGACTCAGGCAATCCTTCCTCCCCAGTCTCCCAAGTAGCTGGGACTATAGGTGCATGCTACCAAGCGTGGCTAATTTTTTTTATTTTTTATTTTGTAAAGATGAGATCTCACTATGTTGTCCAGGTTGGTGTAGAACTCCTGGCCTCAAGCAATCCTCCTGCCTCAGTCTTTCAAAGAACTGGGATTACAGGCATGAGCCACTGCAACTGAACTCCATGTACCATTTAAACATGTTACATACCTTCTCAAAACCTTTCAGTGACTGACTAGTTCTCAAAGGATTCAAATGATATTCCTTGGCCTAGAAAGTGCAATCATGCCTGACGCTTTCCCTTTGGGAGCTGTACTAGTTATCTATTGTGCAAAAAATCACCACAAATTTAGCAGCTTAAAGCAACACACATTTATTATCCCACAGTTTTTGTGGGTTAGGAGTAAAGGACCAGTTCAGTTGAACCTTCTGCTTCTAAGTCATCTAAGTTTGCATTTAGGGTGCTGGCTAGCACTGTGGTCTCATCTGTGGCTTGACTGGGGATGGATCCTCTTCCAAGCTAATGTGATTGGTCAGAGGCCAACCTCAATTCTTTGCCATGTGGTCTTTTCCCTAGGGTAGCTCACAATATGGCTTTTTGCTACATCAAAGTCAGAAAGGGAGAGAGTCTTCTAGCAAGATTAAAATTACAACTTTATGTAAGATAAATATGTACATCCTCTCACCTTTGCTGTATGCTATTGGTTAGAAGCAAATCACAGGTCTGCTTGTGATTTGCTTCTCAAGGGAAGGGGATCACACAAGGATGTGACCACGAAAAGGCGGGACACCCAGGAGCTTATTGTGAACTGCTTCTCATTTCTTATGGTTTCCATCATTATGAAGGGGCTGTATTCCCATTATGCCCACTCTGTGCTCTTCTGGATTTTCTTTTTAGAGCATTCATCTTTGAATCCTTGGCTAACTCACCCATGTCACAGCACTAAGGCCATAAATTCCAGGGTCCCACGATGTGGATCATCTGTGAGAATTAACTTCCAGTTCTGGGGATAGACCCTTGGGAAAACTAGGCACTGGGCCAGAAAGAGTGACCAACAGTGGCCTGGTCACTCTTAACCTAAACTTTGACCTTCGGCAGAGTAGAGGACTAAACCACTCAGGAAATATTAGATGTTTCACCAGATGTTCTTTGAATTATATTTTCTGTTCTATCTGTTCAAGCAGTGCCATTCCAATTTCAATTTTATTTTATTTCATTTCAGAATGATGCTGGGGAAATATGGTCCGCCTTCTATAACGAACAGTCTAAGATCGCTCAAAGTTATCCAATACAAGAAATTCAGAATTCCACCATCAAGCGTCAATTGCAGGCCCTTCAATATAATGGGTCTTCAGTGCTCTCAGAAGACAAGAGGAAACGGGTACGTTTGTGAACATTTTAGCATTGATCCCAAGAGTTGAAATGTTTGGAAAATATTAATCATTAATATCACTTACATCTATTTCCTTTATTTGCAAAGATAGTAATGCTGACATTTGAGCTCGATGCCTAGGTAACCTGACCATATAATAAATAACAAAAATGGAATATTTCTGAGATTGAAAGAAGACACTGCTGGTAATAATTACATTAGAAAAATACAGAGTTGAGTTGGGAATGTCCCTGGCACTGTGGTGCATATGGACACCCTCTGGTGTCAGGTCACCTTTCTGAGGATCAGGCAGTCTGATGAATACATGGTCTATGTTAGTGGTTCTCAACAGGGAGTGATTTCACCCCCTAGAGATATTTGACAAAGTCTGAAGACATTTTTGGTTGTCACAACTGGGGGATACTATTGGCATCTAGTGGGTAGGGATGCTGGGGGACATTCTACAATTTACAGGACAAAACCCAACAACAAAGAATGATCTTGTCCACAATGTCAGTAGTACCAAGCTTGAGAAGCCCATATGTAGTCTAATTCTTTTCCCCTTTCCATCTTTGATTCTCTTCTGCAACTTCTTTAACATGTAGATAATAGCTTTAGCTCACATCTATTCAGAGATGGATGATTCAATTCTTCCTAAGACAGCAGTTCTGTTTGAGTCTCTCCAACTTATGGAAGATAAGATACTCCTATTGAGTATAAAGTACCTTACCTCCACTTGTCTTATCTTCTCTAAGCTAAACATCCTTCACACTGTCAAATTTATCTGATACAATGGTTTTGAGTACCCTCACTAGTCCTGGTTGCTGTCTTTATTTTTTCAGTACCCTTGAACCAAACACAACACTCTGAGTGGGTTCTGTTCTGCATGGAGGTGAGCAGGAATATGACATTATACACCCTGTGGTTTACATCTACTAAGCAGTCCAAAATTATATTAAGCTCTTATTTGTTTTGAAAGCCAAATGCCATGGTTAGCTCCTGTCAACTTCACTGTCAGTGAAGTCTCCAAATCTCTTCTGCCAATGTTGTTCTAAAATGACATCTTTTGGCTGGGCACGATGGTTCATGTCTTGTAATCTCAGCATTTTGGGAGGCTGAGGTGGGAGAATTACTTGAGTTCAGGACTTCAAGATTGGCCTGGACAGTACAGTGAGACCTGGTCTCTATAAAAAATGTAATTTTTTAATTAAAAAGAAATGCGTCCCAGCTACTCAGGAGGCTGAGGCAGAAGAGATCTCCTAAGCTCAGGAGGTCAAGGTTGTGATAAGCCATGATCATGTCACTGCACTCCAGACTGGGTAAAAGAGTGAAACCTTGACTCAAAAATTAAAAACAAAACAAAAATAAAATGACATCTTTCAAAATTCTATTTTTATGTAGGTAGTTTGTCCAAATTTAAGAAAGCCTATATTCACCCCTGTTAAAACAGCATCTCTCATACCAGGACTCAGAAAACATTTTTCTGTAAAGAGACAGTAAATATTTTAGGCTTTGTGGGTCATATTGCCTGTGTCACAGCTAGTCAACTCTACTGTTATAGAAAGAAAGCAGCTGTAGCTAATATATAAATAAGCGAGTGTGGCTGTGTTCCAATAAAACTTTACAGAAACAGGCAGCAGATAGAATTTGGTCTGCAGAACATAGTTTGCTGACCTTGGATATAGCCTACTGAAATATTTCTAATCTAAAATATGTAGCTATTTAAAATGAAAGTCATCTTTCTGGAACTCTGTATATTCTAATCTGCATTTATAAAAATAAAAATGCATGATAAGGACAAAGATAAATCCATATGGGATGTATCTGTCTACAAGTTGATGTTCATTATTCTGCATTCTTTGAGTCCAGTTATCCAACTAGTTATTAATCCACTTTACCTTATCTAGTCTATATTTCTCCATTACAAAAAAATACAAGGATACCATGAGAAATCTCACCCACTTGGGCTAGCTTAGGTGGAACATGGACATTTTATTTTTTAAAAGGCTTCAAATAATTCTAATGTGCAGCCAGGATTGAAAACCACTGAAATACATGTAAGATCTTGAAGTATTTGGGAAGGGGGAAACTCGAGGGGGCATGGATGCGAAGGAGAGGAAGCAGGGGAGATTAAAGAAGCAGTAAGAGAAAAAGACCATGAGGGTTTTGTGCCATGGTAAGGAATTTAGGCTTATTCCTTTTGATTATGAGATCTTGTATGTTTTAAGCATAGGATCTAGTTCACGTTTTAGGGTAATGACTCTTGGCGCAGAGACAAAGGGAAATAGGATAAGGGGAAACAGGCCTTTAATCTAGTGCTTCTTACATTTTCTGTAGGAAAGAACTGCCCTCCCTCCCTCCCTCCTTTCCTCCCTCCCTCTCTTCTTCCCTTCTTTCCTTCCTCCCCTTCTTCTTTCCTTTCTCTCTCCTTCATTCCTTGATTTCCAATCTATTGCAGATAGATTGATATTGATACTTGGTTAAGTTCATTGATTAATACATAGATGTCATGAAAATAACAAATTGTCTTAAAAAGTGTATAACCATTTATTCTCTTGATTCCTATATTTACTGTAGAATGGAAACAGACTATTTGCTGACTTGCACTGGCCCATAGATCTTGAAGTAACATCGCTTTACTCTGTTACCTTCACTCCCCTTTACCTACAGGGTAAAGTTTAAAGTCTTGATTATGACGTACATGGTTCCTTATGATCTGGTCCACTTCTCCCAATGAACACCATCACTTCAGTTTCATTCAACATCTCACCATCCCCTGGAAATGCCTCTTTTCAAATTTCCTTCCATCTTTTATGCTCTGCCCTCTGCCTCTCTTCTTTACGTGACCAATGCCTACTTCTCCTTCAAGACACAGCTCCTATGTCCTCTCCTCTTTGAAGTCACTCCTGAATCTCCAAGTTATTAATTTCTTCCCCTCCTATACTGCGGTATCACTTTTTGGTGACAGTTATAGCACTTGTCACTCTGTTATGTAGTTACTGATTTCATGGCTGCCTCACTGTCCCATGACTTTGAGGGCTTTGGGGGCCAGTGACTTATTCATTTCAAAACCGTCAGAACGCAGGACATAGCAGAGACACAGTAAATGCTGAATGAAACGAAATGTGCACTTTTCTGTATGTGTGCATGAGAAACATTCTTGGGATTTTGGTAAAACTGATTATTTCAATAACTTCATATATATGTATTGTGTCTTTATGAGGCTTTGTGCTAGTTGATAGTGGCAAAACTGAGTTATTCCTTCCCCACATACAGAAAGATACTTGGCCTAGAAGACGTAAATTGCCAAATTTTAAGGCATCAAAAATCACATGGCCAAAAGGATAACTTTATATTATCATACTCTTCATCATATTTTCCATGGTTAATTGTTTATTGTCTTTAATTTGCAGTTAAACACAATTTTAAGTACAATGAGCACCATCTACAGTACTGGAAAAGTTTGTAACCCAAACAATCCACAGGACTGCTTAGTACTTACACCAGGTAGGCTATTAATTTGGAGTAGTGATTATAAAATTTACTTTTCTCTCAAGTTTTAAACATTTGGTTGACAACAGACAATGACATTGTGCGTTTCAGATGGATAATCCAAAGACAATAAGATTTCAAATATGTGTGTTTCAGCACACAGATGCTCTTTTAATTTTTAACAAAACTTTATCACATTCATTTAATTTAATTAAGTTAAAATTAAATTATTTTAGTGGTTTATTTTCTCTGCAGACATATTTTGGAACTATAAGCTCGAGGGAATGAATAAATGAGCTTTTAAAATATAACTTTATGACCTGATGTCTGCCAATCTTACTTTTAATTCTTTAAAGTTCATATAATTGTTTACAAATAAAAGTTTTACAAATGCATTTTTTTCCCTTTGGTGCTTTGGAATAACAGGCTTGGATGACATAATGGCACAGAGTACAGACTACAGCAAGAGGCTCTGGGTTTGGGAAGGTTGGAGGTCTGAGATCGGCAAGCAGCTGAGGCCATTATATGAAGAGTATGTGGACTTGAAAAATGAGATGGCAAGAGCAAATGGTGAGTTTGCTAACTTGTAGAGGTCCTGAAGCTCTCTATGGCTGCAGACCTATTTCTTCTATGCTATCAAGCCTGCCCTTTGATATCAGGGATACTCCTCCATTAACAGTCATCTCCTGAACAATTCAGGTGGCCTGTTTCAAGAAGCTACTAAAAAAAAAAAAAAGAAAAAGAAAAGGTGCATTAGCATTCTACAGTTCAAGGAGCTCCAGAATGACACTCAACTACAGGGCCTCAAGTGAATTATCCAGGAATTATGAATTATGAGTTAGCCAGGAAGATCCCAGGCCCCAGGCATTCCTGAGGGAGTCTGGGTATTGAGTGGAGATCCTATTTCTCAGACAGGATGAGAGACAGAGACATTATCTTTCACCTAAACCCCCATCTGACCATAGTTCACTCCCAAATGTCATTTGTGTGTCTACCTCAGGGTGATGTCTCAGAAAAAAAGGCAGATTAGTTTAGGCTAGAAATCCATTGTTTTCTGCAGTTGTAATTATAACTTAAATCATGTGGTAATAAAAAGTCTTAACCTAGGAAGGAATTTCCTTATCTCTTAGCTTATTCTCCTGTCTGAATAATGAATCAGGGTGTCATAAATAACTTTATGCTGTGGTGATTCACTGCCCCCTGGGGTTGAGTAAGGAAGAATTTTTTTCTCATTTGTTTTTTCTAAATTTTTTTCACTGTCACTTAAATTCATATTCTCAAGCCTTAGGTAACCTGGAGACAATAGTTATCACCATTAAAAAAAAACAATATCCTGCATTTTTTCTATCCAATTTTTTTTTGTTTGTTTGAATCAGGGACTTACTCTGTTGCCCAGGCTGGAGTGCAGTGCCACAATCACTGCTCACCACAGCCTTGACCTCCTGGTCTCAAGTGATCCTTGTACCTCAGCCTCCCGTTTAGCTGGGAATACAGACACACACCACTTGACTAATTTTTGAATTTTTTTGTCGAGATGAGATCTCACTATGTTGCCCAGGCTGGCCTCAAACTCCTGGGTTTAAGCAGTCCTCTCCCTGCAGCCTCCCAAAGTGCTGAGATTACAGGTGTGAGCCACCACACTTGGCCTATCCAGATACTTATTTGTCTCATCTTCTTGATCATCTATTGTCAATGTGAGTGTAAAAATAAAAATCATTAAAATACATTTACAAACTGTATTAACTAATATCCTAACACAAGCTTGTGTTTCCTGGTGGTGAGATACTAAATGAAGCTCATAGAGACGTGCTGTGTATATATACAATTTGTAAAGAAACAGACATGCTGTGGCAATGTCTAGGATGAGTTGGGTCAGATCTAAAAATAAAAGGCCCTGAGCAAAATGATAATTTAAAAACTTAGAGATTCAATCACCCATTTAAAAACTAAAGATGCAAACTGACTTTTAGATAGAATAGAGACCTAGGGTTAGGAGACTAGGAGTGTGTCTCTGTCCCTTACCAGCAGTGTAAATTTGGGCAAGTGATTTAACCTCTCTAAGCACAGGTGGTTGGTGGGAATATAGACTGGTGATGCTGTTATGGAAAACAGCACAGAAGTTGCTAAAGAAGTTAAAAATAGAATTACCTTATTACCCAGCAATCCTTCTTCTGGGTACATAAAGTGGAAACAACCAAAGTGTTTGTCAGTGGATGAATGGATAAAGAAACTGTAGTATATTATGTAGCCCTAGAAAAGAGGAGATTATATCATTTGCCAAAATATAGATAGACCTGGAAGACATTACACTAGGTGATATAAGCCAAACATGAAAAGAAAAATATTGCATGATTTCACTTATATGTGGATTCTACACACAAAAGAGTCAAATATACAGAGATAAAGAATAAAACAATGGTTACTGGGGTAGGGGATGAGAAATGGGGAAATGTAGGTCAAAGATACAAAGTAGCAGATATATAGAATGAAAAAGTCTAAAGATCTAAAGTACATCATAGGGACTATAGTTAATAGTAGTGCCTTGTACTCAGGATTTTTGCTAAATGGTAGATTTTAGCTGCTCTTGCCACAGAGAGGGGGGAGTGGGTAACTGTGGAATGATGGATATGTTAATTTGTTTCACTATAAAAATATATATTTTACTATATATATCTTATGACATCATGTTGTATACCTGAAATATACACACTAAAATGTACTCAAATCAGCATAGGCTGTTAATCTGCACAGTGGGGGTTATAACAATGACAATCTTGTATGGTTTTTGTGTTTACTAAATAAGGTAATATATTTAAACTCCTGACACAAAGCAAGTGCTTAAACAGATTACCTAATATTATTGTTTATTTGCACCTCTTTGAGTTGATGTTTATTGCAATAATAATGTGATAAGCCTTTAGATTTCTTTTAACCTCCCAACAAGGCTAATCTACAAATACTGTGCTTTCTCTCTTTCCCTTATGTTCTCTTTCTCTCTTTTTAAAACAGGTTATGAGGACTATGGGGATTATTGGAGAGGAGATTATGCAGCAGAGGGGGTAGATGGCTATGACTATAACAGCACACAGCTGATTGAAGATGTGGAACATACCTTTGAACAGGTAACAGAGGAACTGAACACAGAAACAGATATAGGGCAGTGCATGGGAAAAAGGGATGGTGACCAAAGGCATTCTGGCTTACTCTTTTTTTAGAATTTTAAATACGTGGGGCACAATTCAGGGTTAGGTATACAAATGTTTATTATGCGGGTACCTTTGCTGATGAGGTGTGCCTCCCTGGCTTATTTTTAACACACTGATCCGTCATTTCCAGTTCTCACAAAGTTATGGACTGCTAGAGCTTGAAAAGGTTTTAGAGAATGATAGGGAAGCCACTACAGATGATCGGCATCACTCTGTTTTTCTTCCCCTTCCAGTCACTGACCAGTAATTACCAATAGAAATATTATAAGTATGAAAGATTACAGAAAAGAATGGTCTTTGTGAGCCACCTGGGCTTAGCACTGTCTTCCTGTATTAACAGAGGATTTACTGCCTTCCTTAGGACAATTGATACTATTTTTTATTAACCTTTGCTAATGAAAAGGAAGTCTTTATAAGGAATAGAGAGTTTTATGAGCAGAAGTGTTCCATGGACACTTTTCATTGTGTCCCTCTTCCTTCATTTACCCTCGCACCTCCAAACTTCTGATGTAAGCTACTCTATCACAGCCATAGGTGGGCAGAGCTATAAAAAATGGAAGAAAAGCCGGGCTCGGTGGCTCAGCCTGTAATCCCGCGCCTTTGGGAGGCTGAGGTGAGTGGATTGCCTGAGCCCACAGGTTCGAGACCCGCCTGGGCAGCGAGACCTCATCTCTACAATAAATCAAAAAATCAGCCGGGCGTGGCAGTGCATGCCTGTAATTCCGGCTACTTGAAAGGCTGAGGCGGAAAGATCGCCAGAGCCCAGCAGGTGGAGGCTGTGGTGGCCGGGAGCGGCCACTGCACTCCAGTCTGGGCAACAGAGTGACACTCCAACTCAAAAAAAAAAAAAAAAAGAAAAGAAAAGAAAAGAAAAGAAAAAAATAGAAGAAAAAAACAACTTCCCAGGGGGAAAACAGAACAAAACAGAAAACAGGCAGAAGATTTGAATAAGTACACATCATCAAAGAAATTATACAAATGGCAAATAAGCAAGTACAAAGTTATTAGGGAAATGCAAGTTAAAACCATGATGAAAATTCACTCCACACCCACCAGAATGGCTATAGTTAAAAAGACAAACAATATCAAGTAGTGGGGAGAATGTGGAGAAATGCCCTCATACACTGCTGGCAGGAATGTCAAATGGTGCAGTCCCTTTGGAAACAGTTTGGCAATGTCTTAAAAAGTTAAATAGATACGCACCATATGACCCTTTGGTTTCTATATGAGATAAATGAAAACATATATCCATAGAAAGACTTACACACAAATCTTTGTAGCAGCCTTATTCATAATCCCATGTTCAGACAATGGAATACTGCTCAGTAATAAAAGGAACGAGCTTCCACTACATGCAACAGCATGGGTGAACCTAAAAATCATTCCAAGTGAAAGAAGTCAGACACAAAAGAACACTCATTATATTATGCCATTTATGTGAAATGACCAGAATAGGCAAAACTATAGAGACAGAAATCAGTGCAGTAATTACCTTGGGCTGGAGGTGGGAGTGAAATTGACTACAAGTGGGCACAAGGAAATGGTGGTGATAGAAATGTTCTAAAATGGGATAGTGGTGATAGTTTCTCAACAGTTTTAATTTATTGAAACTCATAAATCAACAAAACAAAAAGCTAGTTCTTTCAAAGAATTAGATGGACCCCTAGCCAGAATAACCAAGAAAAAGAGAGAAAAACCCAAGTAAACATAATCAGAAATACAAAAGATCAATTCACAACTGACCCTGAAGAAATACAGATTATCAGAGATGACTGTGAACACCTGTATGGAAACAAACTTGATAACCTAAATGAAATGGAGGACTTTCTAACATCACATGATCTCCCAAAATTGAAACAAGAAGAAATTGAGACACTAAATAGACCAATAACAAACCAGGAAATTGACTCCATCATAGGAAAACTATCTACCAAAAAAAAAAAAAAAAAAAGTCCTAGATGGGATGGCTTTCCAGCAGAATTCTACAAAATGTATCAGGAGCTGATACCAATTCTATTGAAAGTATTCCAGGCAATTGAGAAAGAGAGAATTCTCCCCAAATCATTTTATGAAGCTAACATCACACTGGTACCCAAACCGGGTAAAGATCCAACCAAAAAAGAGAACTACAGGCCAATATCCCTAATGAACATAGATGAAAAAAATTCTCAACAAGATTCTAGCAAATCGGACCCAACAACACATCTCAAAAATCATCCACCATGATCAAGTAGTTTCATCCCTAGGATGCAGAACTGGTTTAACATCTGCAAGACCATAAATGTAATTAAATACATCAACAAATCTAAAAACAAGAACCACATAATTATATCATTAGAAGTGGAAAAAGCTTTTGATAAAATCCAGCATCTCTTCTTGTTAAAAACCCTCAAACACCTAGGTATAGAAGGAACATACCTCAAGATAGTAAGTGCCATCTGTGATAAACCCACAGCCAGCATATTGCTAAACAGAAACTGGAAACATTTTCCCTGAAAACCGGAACAAGACAAGGCTGTCCACTCTCACCCCTCTTGTTCAACATTGTGTTGGAAGTCCTAGCTAGAGCAATTAGACGAGAGAAGGAAATCGGGGGTATCCAAACAGGAAAAGAGGAAGTTAAGCTATCCCTCTTTGTTGATGATATGATCCTATACCTCGAAAATCCAAGAGAATATGTCAAAAACCTGCTTTCACTGATAAAGGACTTTGGCAAAGTCTTGGGGGTACAAAATAAATGTGCAAAAGACAGTTGCATTCCTAAACACCAACAACAAGCAGGCAGAGAACCACATAAAAAGCACAATCCCACTCACAATAGCCACAAAAAAAGAAAAAAGAAACACCTTGGCATCTTCCTAACCAGAGAAGTGAAGGACCTTTACAACGCAAACTACAAAACACTGCTCAAAGAAAGAAGATACAAACAAATGGAAAAATATTCCATGCTCATGGATAGGAGGAATCAATATTGTTAAGATGTCCATCCTACCTAAGGCAGTCTACAAATTCAACACAATACCATTAAATTACCAACATCATTCTTCTCAGACCTGGAAATGACAACACAGAAATTCATATGGAAACATAAACGACCATGAATAGCCAACACAATCCTTAGCAAAAGAAACAAAGCAGGAGGTATCACACTTCCAGACTTCAAACTTTACTATAGGCTACAATAATCAAAACAGCCTGGTATTGGTGCAAGAACAGGCATACGGAACAATGGAACAGGATAGAGATTTCAGAAGCAAAATCTCAATCTCAACCAACTCATCTTTGAGAAAATCTCCACCAACAACCACTGGGGAGAGGAGAACCTATTTAGTAAATGGTGCTGGGAAAACTGACTGACCACATGCAAAGCAAGACCCTACCTATCACTATACACAAAAATAAACTCGAAATGGATCAAAGACCTAAACGTATAACCTCAAACTATAAGAACCTTAGAAGATGCAGGAGACACCCTTATGGAAATTGGAACTGGCAACCAATTCCTGATCAAAACCCCAAGTACCCATGCCATAAGAGATAAGATAGACAAATGGCATCTCATCAAACTGACAAGCTTCTGCAAAGCAAAAGAAACCATCAAGAGAGTGGGGAGACAGCCCACAGAATGGAAAAAAAATATTTGCCAACTGTATATCTGACAAAGGCGTAACATTCAGGATCTACAAGAAACTCAAACATGCTGAAAGGAAAAAAACAAACAACCCCGTTAAAAAGTAGGCAAAAGACATGAATAGACATTTCTCAAAAGAAGATATACGGGCAGCCAACAGACACATGAAAAAGTGCTCAACCTCACTAAACAACAGAGAAATGCATATCAAAACCACACTGAGATACCACCTAACCCCAGTAAGACTGACTATCTTTAATGAAACAAACAAAAACAGATGCTGGAAAGGATGTGGAGAAAAAGGAACGCTTCTACACTGCTGGTGAAAATGCAAACTAGTGCAACCTCTTTGGAAAACAGTGTGGCAATATCTGAAAGAAACAAAAATTGACTTTCCATATGACCCAGCAATCCCCCTACCAGGAATATACCCAGAGAAACTCAGATCATTCTACAGAAAAGATACGTGCATACACATGTTTATTGCAGCACTATTCACAATAGCAAAAACGTGGAACCAACCATGTTGCTCATCGAAACTGGACTGGATAAAAAAATGTGGTACATATACACAATGGAATATTATGCAGTCATAAAGAAGGACAAACATATGGACTTCGCAGCAACTTGGATGGATTTAGAGTCTATCATACTCAGTGATCTATCACAGAAACAAAGAACAGAGTACCATATGTTTTCACTCATAAGTGGACCTCGAACAATTACCCTAATACTATAAGAAAGGGATAGGCAGTAGTGGAAAACTTCCAGGGAAGGGAGGGGTGAGATTGGCAGTAGTGGGAAACTGCCAAGGGAGGGGAGGACACCTCATCGACAAGCGTACCTGCATAATGAACATTTGTATACCTAACCCTGAATTGTACCCCACATCTTTAAAATAATCAATTAAAAACAAACAAACAAATAAATAAAATAAACTCGTGAAACGATATACTTGAAAATTGGTGAATTTTATGGTATGTAAATTATGCCTCCATTTAAAAACAAAGGAAGTAGGTAACATCTTAAAAGTGATTATTTTTTTGCATCTGCTTTCATTTCGGGATCTGTGTTTTTCCCAATGTGTTTAATAATTTATGGAGTAGAGCTAGTTACCATCAATATCTGGAAAGAAGGAATGCTTTCAAACTCTCCAGAATATTTGAGAGAAGAAGAAATAATAATTTAGGGAAATTCTACATGTCTAAAGAAGCTCCTATTTCTAGTGTTGAGGATTGGAAATTGGAGTTGGCTATTCTTAGTACTGAATTTTCTTTCTGGGCTTTTCAGATTAAACCATTATATGAACAGCTTCATGCCTATGTGAGGGGGAAGTTGATGAATGCCTACCCTTCCCGTATCAGTCCAACTGGTTGCCTCCCTGCTCATTTGCTTGGTAAGAAGTCTCAGGAATTCTTTGTGTACTTGGCTCGTTGTTATTTTCACCAATAAAATTGTCTTTTGGAGTGAGGCCCAACACAAAACTTCTGAAAAATTCTGTAAATGAAGTTAGTAACATTGTAGAGATCACATTTTGAAAGTACTTTCAACAGAAAATCTATTTAAAATAATTCTCTATTATATTACTTTTAAAAATATACATAAAGAGTTATTACGTTGGCTGCAATTCAAAGGATAAAGAAGTTATTTAGGATGACTAGAGAAATAATTCCAGGTTCAAATGACAGCAGGAATGGGGAAACTCATTTTTAGTAGCCAAGTTGGTTGGCTAAGTTCTTGAGGTGGAGTTTGGGATTTTAGTATCATATTGTCAGAGGAAAGAAGCTTGGTAGATTGGGGGTGGTCAGGGGTAAGAGAAAGTCTTCTAGAATTAAGGTATAGCTCGGGTAAAAAGTTTCCTAAGTTCATTCCAGAGTGCATCAATTACTCTTGCTAAAAAGTACTTGGTTTGGAATCATGAATAGAGAATGAAAGAGAGTGGTCATCCTGTTTTCTCCCATCACAGCAGCTAAGGCCAAATAAAATATAAATATTTGAAAATTTCATGCCAGGCATGCATAGCATTTCTACTATAGTCAAGCTAAGTTGCTGGTACCTAGTCTCCTCCAAAGCCAAAACTCATGTCTATCAGCCAGAAAGAATATGAGCAAAGGACCTGGGGAGACTTTTAACATTAAAGCAATATAGAAATTCTCTCTACAATGTCCTTGGCAGGCATTATTCAGCAATTCGGTTTCTGCTTAAACTTGTCTAGTGTGATGGGGCAATTCCTTCCTTTCAAGATAGACTAATTTATTGCTACATGACACCAATATAAGAAAGTTCTACCTTATGTGAAACTTAAGCAACACCCCTCTAATGCCTTTCATCCATTACATCTACGTCCATGCTATGAGAATATGTCAATTCTTATTTGATATGTCAATTCCAGAATATGTCAATTCCTATTTTACAAGATGACCTTGCAGATATTTGTAAACAACCATCATTTAATACACAGCATAGTATCTGGTGCACTACATTTTAGTGACGATTATTGTTATAATCATGTATATATTATTTTCTTTTTTATGTTAAGTATCTTAGATTTTCAACCATTCTTGGAAACCCCACTTTTCTAATGGCTTTCCTTTGGATTAGCTGTACTTTGTCAATATCCCTCTTCAATTACCATGCTCAGAACTGAACAGTTGCTCCAGATGAGGTTTGGCCAACTTAGAGAAAAGATACGATGCCTGCCTTTGTTCCAGACACTACAATTCTATTGATTTAGCTTAAGGTCACATTTGTGTTTCAGGAGCCATGTCGTACTGTTCATTGGCTCACTTTTGGTCTTTTACATGTAGACGGTTCTTCAGCCTGATGCCACATATGTATTTCTATGGTGGATAGATTTTTCTTTAAAATTTAAGCATAGGACCTCAAGTGTGTCTCTACTAAATTTTATCTTTTAAAAAATGAGTTCATTGGTGTACTTTTCATGTAGTTGTGTTGCCCCATTTCTTTAGTGCCAGGATTCTGGTCCTGCTATTAGATTGATTTTTTTTTCCTAGATCCACCTTCCCTTTTACAGTCTCTGGACTTGGAATCCAACTTAAAATTTGTTTGAGATGTTTGAAAAGTCACCCGGTCCAAAAATTAAAAAAAAAATTAAGAAACCCCATAGGCCAGGTGCAGTGGCTCATGCCTATAATCCCAGCACTTTGGGAGACTGAGGTGAGAAGATTGTCTGATCCCATGGGTTTGAGATCAGCCTGGGCAACTTGGGAAGACCTCATCTCTACAATAAATCAAAAAATTAGCCAGGTGTGGTGGCGCATGTCTGTAGTTCCAGCTACTTGGAAAGCTGAGGTGGAAGGATCACCTGAGCCCAGGTGGTTGAGGCTACAGTGGCTGTGAGTGTGCTACTCTACTCCAGCCTGGGCAACAGAGTGAGACTCCAACTCTAAAAATTAAAAAAAAATTAAAGAAAAGTTCACCCAGTTATGAGTACTACTATAGTAATAAAAGTGGAATTTAGTTCCTGATGATGGTCTAATACAATACTTTTTTAATTCAATACTAGAAATTGCTAATAGTTTAATTTGTAGTATTTTGTCCCATGGATGGTGGATTATATAAATCTCTTTCTAATCTACAGTAGCAATGATGCTTTATATATTTAATAAATTATGTCTATATTCCTGCTGTCTTTGTATATATTAACAAGTTCTTTTTTTAAAAAAATAGGTGATATGTGGGGTAGATTTTGGACAAATCTGTACTCTCTGACAGTTCCCTTTGAACAGAAACCAAACATAGATGTTACTGAGACAATGGTGAATCAGGTATGAAAAAAGGTCTTAAAAACTATACCTAAATTCTCAACTTCATTTTTTTAATGTCATCCTTCTGTTTTCACTTTTGCATGCAAAAACATGTAAATAAAAATATTCAAGCTAATTTAAATTTATTTTGCTATATTTTAGTGGAAAAGTAATTTACAATGACCTTAAGAATCTTGAATAACAGGTATGGTATTGATCTTTTGAGAGATATTCAAAATAGAGATGACCTGAATTTTCTATTAAGCAGTAAGATGTGAAGTTATCAATTGATTGGTATCACTCTTTCCAAAGTTAGTCATTACTAAGTAGTCAGTCAGTAATCTCTATAATTAGTAAAAACAAGAATATCATTAGGAGATTTTGCATATTTAAAAATCATTGGTGTTAAAAACATTAGAATATTAAAAATAATTTTAAATCACCCTTTTCTTATTATCCTAGTATAATGGTTTAAATTCTCTGTGTTCCTGTCCACTGATGAAATCATATTATAGTTATAATAATGTATTTTTCTTTATTTAATTAAAATTTTACATTTCTGGATAGAATGTTCAATCATACTTCTATTTGCCTTACAAAATTTCTTCAGATGGTTGCACCATAATTTACTATTCATGCATTGCTGAGCCATTGCTTGCTAATAGTTTTAAATCTGTAAGTAGCCATGAACATCTTCACATATATAACATACTCCTGGGAAAAGTTTGCTGCAGAATAAAAACATGGAGCTACAAGCGCCTCCAAACTCTTCCTGCTGTTCTAGCTCCATTTTGCGGTTGAGCAGCAGTAGAGGGCCATTTTGTGTAGATCCTTAGCCTTTCTAAAGGGTTTTCATGCCCATTTCTTCATTTGTCATCTATGAGACTCCCAAAACAGGTATTGTGATTGCTCCATGCTATAGCTAATGAAACTGAGATCCAGGTAAATGATTTGCCCAAAGTCAAAAAGACAGTCATTTGCAACTAAGGACTGAACTCAGAACTCCTAATATTTCCAGTCTGGTTTTGTATCAATCCATTCATTCTTCATTCAACATATGTTAACTGTACTTACCTGTCTGTGCTATTTTGGTATACATTCATTCTGCTTAAGAATGCCATACTCATCAATATCAATTGCCTGACAGTAAGTCTTCAAAGGTCAATAGTTTAAAAAAATAGTCTGTAGTCTCATGTCCCGTTTCTTATTTTCAGGACTGACATAGGAGAAAATCCAGATTCAGCTGGTCCTTGTGATCAGAAGTTTTCTGTTAAAGTGATTCATGGACTATTTGGCAATTACACAACCATAGTTTGCCTGATGTGGGCTTTATTTCCTAAACAGGCTTGGTCAGTTTCAGAGACACTAGTTCCCAAAAGAACTTACTGAGTAGCAAAGATGTACTGCTGCCTCATTCCAGTTCCAGAACAATCTGAAAGTTTAAACTTCATACAGATAATGAAGCCAGGGCCCAGCCACTCGTTGGCTGCCAGGCCACATCTGAGCCTTTTATATTCCAAAAGCCTATGCTTTCATCTCCACCTTATTGTTTGTGTCTCTTTCACTTAGCCTAATATAGGGCCTTGCCCCTTGAAGGCGCTCAATCAATGATTGTTGACTTGAGTTCAGCAGTCTTTAGCAAATAGGCTACTTAGCAATGCTGTTTGTTTGTACTTGGCCATAAAAAATAAAGACAAAAATATTGCAAGTAATCTCACCTAATATGCTGTTAATATTTTCATGTATTTCCTCATTAAGATTATACCATAAAAGTGGCTTATATATTTTACTTTTTCATTTACTCTTAAATTGTATTTCATACTAGCAATACAAATTCTTTATATCAATAATATCAATACAAATTATAATTTGGATGGCTGTACAACTTTCCATTTTAAAAAAGTATCCTTATTTATTTAACCATTCTGATGGTTGTTTCTACTTTTTTCCCTATTAAAATCATTCTCTTTGCACTTCTATCATTATTAATGTCCTTCCTTATCCATGCTCTGAAGTCTACTTGCTCTGATATTAGCATTGCCATTTCCTCCCTTTTTTAGTTAGCATTTATGTGGTATATACTTTTTTCATTCTTTTACTTTTATCTGATTTTTATTGTTAATTAAAATCAATTTCTTATAAAAGTAAAATAATTCTCAATGTAATTTTTGAATCTAATTTACGTTAATTTGTTTAGGTTCATTCCCTAGAGCCAGTATTACTGAGAGAAAAAGAAAGATTTCAAAAGCTGTCTGTACATGTTACCAAATTGTCTTTAATGCTGTTATTTTTTAATGACATTAGCACTTTTTTCTATTTTAAAATATTATTTTAAATTGACAATCTGTAATTGTATATATTTATGGGGCAAAATGTGATGTTATGATCTATGAGTACAATGAATATAATCAAATCAAGTAAATTAACTTATCTGTCTCATGTACTTACTATTTTTTTGTGCTGAGAACATTTGAAATTTACTCTCTGAGCAATTTTGAAACATACAGTGCACTATTATTAACTACATTCATCGTACTGTGCAGTAGATCTCAAAAAAAAAAACAACACAAAAACTCAACACTTATTCATCCTGTCTGAGACTTTATACTCTTCGGCCATGATCTTCCCATTGGCCCTACCCCTTAGCCTCTGCAACCAACATTTACTCTCTGCTTCTATGAGTTCCATTGTTTTAGATTCCACAGGTAAGTGAGAACATGTGATATTTGTCTTTGTGTGCCTGGCTTATTTCACTTAAGAATGCTGTTATTTTCATGCTGGAATTAAAAATTGTTTTTGTTTCTCAGGCCTGGGATGCACAGAAAATATTCAGGGAGGCTGAGAAGTTCTTTACATCTGTTGGTCTTCCTAATATGACTCAAGAATTCTGGGTAAACTCCGTGCTAACTGAGCCAAAAGATGGCCGGAAAGTGTCCTGCCATCCCACAGCTTGGGACCTGGGGAACAGCGATTTCAGGTAGTAAAGCTGATACGTACAGAGATGGTACTAAATGGGAAACAATGGAGGAAGGGTAAAACTGAACTTTGATTCCTTCTCTGCTTTTCTAAGTACAAAAGAGATGAGTTAATTCTTCTTGAACTAAGGCTGGGAGTCCATGAGAGCACATTAGGGTTTCTCCAGAAAAAGAGGATTGCTAGGAGATCCTAACTTGAACCTTTAGACAATCTGCTTCCTTTGCTATATTATGTGTCCATTTGAGTTGCTTGGTAACGGGAATGGTGGTGCCCACATCAAGAAAGATTTTGTGCTAAAACTTATGGAAGATGAACATGTGAATCGGGCATTGATCTTCCCCTCCATGTTTCACTCTGGTGAAGACAAAAATAGGTGAATAAATAAGCTGGGATAAAAGGGAGAAAGTTGTACATGTCAGAGACGCAGAAAATGCTCTTTTGGGATTTGGAACAAAACTGACCACACCAGCAATAGAGGTAGATCAGATAGGGCTTTGTGGGTGGCATTTGAATTGGGTTTGAAAGACAAGGAGGATTTAGACAGCTGAGAGGAAGGTGTTAGAGTAGGAGAACTGCAGGATGAAATGCAGAGAGACAGGAACTGTGTACTGGAGTTGGCAAGTTAGGCTAGAGCAAGAAATAGATGAAGGAGGATTTGTATGATGTGGCAGAATGAGCACAGGCTTTGGAATCCTAGGTGTGTCATTTAATGACTAGGCAGACTTGAACAAGGTATTCAACCTTCCTGGGCTTCAATTCCTTTTTTCACAAAGTAGAGTTGTAATTCCCAGGTTGTAGCTTTGTGAGAATCTTTGGTTGGGTTCCCTAGCTTGAAGTGGAGATTGTTGTGCAGGTGTCTCATTGAGGGAGAGCTCTCAGGCAAAGGGGAGTGAGGAAAGGGACCTGGGACCTGAGGAAAGGCGATATGGAGAAGGGCACAGGGAGATGGTGGATCTGCCTGGTAGGACAGGGGAAGGAGGCAAGTAAGGAGGCAATCTTTGCTAGAGGCCTGGCCTCAGCCTGATCCCATGAATCCCTCTAGAGTATGACTTGAACTGCAAGACAATGGGATTGATTTTTGTACCCCTATATTATAGTCAGTCATTGCTGTAGACTGCCTCAGAGTTTAAGGGAACATAAGTCGAGGCACCTCCCATTTGGCCAAAGACAGTGAAGGAAACAGCTCTTGGCCCTATCAACTATGACCCAGGCAGCTTGGGGGATAGTGGATCTGCCTGGTAAAAAAGATCTAGGCAGGGCCCTACCAGCATTCACTAGGGTAGGATTGGATTGACAATTCTTTTCTGTAAAGGGCCAGGTAGTAAATAACTTAAACTTTGAAAGTCTCTGTTGCAACTATTCAACTCTGCCCTTGTTGAATAGGTAGTCATAGATAATACATAAACAGATGGGTGTGACTATGTGTCAATAAAACTTTATTTTTAAAAACAGGGGGCCAGCCAGCAGGCCACCGCTAACTGACCCTAGAACTAGGGTGAGGCTTAGAAATGAGAAAATAATGTAAGTTTCCTAGCACATAATCTGACATACACAGTGGACAATAATTATAAAGTAGTTATAGTTGCTTCAAATGAGAATAGAGAGAAACTAAGTTAGAAAAGCAGGTTGGAAAAGAAAGAACTACAGGTCAATATCCTTGATGAACATATAAGCTAAAATTCTCGACAAGATCCTAGCAAAATGAATCCAAGAATACATCTCAAAAATATGGCTTCATTCCCGGGATGCAGGACTGGTTCAACAGTTGCACGACAATAAATGTAATGAAATATATCAACAGATGTAAAAACAAAAACCACACAATTATATCATTAGATTCAGAAAAAGCTTTTGATAAAATTCAGCACCCCCCTGATTGATAAAAACCCTCGAACATCTAGGCATAGATGGAACATACCTCAAAATAATAAGAGCCACCTATGAGAAACCCACAGCCAGCATACTGCTAAATAGACAGAAATCGGAACCATTTCCCCTGAAAACCAGAAAAAGACAAGGTTGCCCACTCTCACCCCTCCTTTTCAACATAGTTTTGGAAGTCCTAGCTAGAGCAATCAGACAAGAGGAGATCAGGAGTATCCAAATAGAAAGAGAGGAAGTCAAGTCATCCTTCTTTGCAGATGGCACGATTCTATACCTCGAAAACCTAAGAGAATCTATCAAAAACCTCCTCGCATTGATAAAGGACTTTGGCAAAGTCTCAGGGTATAAAATAAATGTGCAAAACAGCTGCATTTCTATACACCAACAATAAACAAACAGAAACTCAAATAAAAAGCACAATCCCATTCACAATAGCCACAAAAAAATGAAATACCTTGGCATCTTCCTAACCAGAGATGTGAAACACCTTTACAACAAAAACTACGAAACACTACTCAAAGAATTCAAATATGACACAAACAAGGGAAAAATATTCCCTGCTCATGGATTGGAAGAATCAACATTGTTAAGATATCCATCCTACCCAAGACAATCTACAGATTTAACGCTATACCCATTTAATTACCAGCAGCATTCTCCTCAGATCTGGAAATGACAATACAGGAATTCATATGGAAACATAAATGACCATGAATAACCAAAACAATCCTCAGCAAAAACAAAACAAAAGCAAAACAAAAACAACAACAACAAAAGCAAAATGGGAGGTATAACATTCCCAGACTTTAAACTTTATTATAAATCTACAATAATCAAAACAGTCTGGTGTTGGTACAAGAAGAGGCATATAGACCAATGGGACAGGATAGAGATTCCAGAGGCAAAACCTCTATTTCTCAACCAACTCATCTTCGACAAAGCCTCCACCACCAACCACTGGGGAGAGGAGAAAACTGGCTGACCACATGCAGAAGATTAAAACAAAACCCCTACCTATTACCGTACACAAAAACCAACTCTAAATGGATCAAAGACCTAAACATAAAACCTCACCAAAACTTCAAGTGCCCATGCCATAAGATATTAGATAGACAAGTGGGACCTCATCAATTTGACAAGCTTCTGCAAAGCCAAAGAGAGAGAGCAGAGAGACAGTTCACAGACTGGCAAGAAATATTTGCCAACTGTATATCTGACAAAGACCTAACATCTAGGATCTACAAGGAACTCAAACATACCGAAAAGAAAAAAACAGACTCATTACAAAGTGAGCAAAAGATATGAATAGACACTTCTCAAAAGAAGACATACAAGCAGCCAACAGATACATGAAAAAATGTTCAGCCTCACTAGTCATTAAAAAAATGCAAATTAAAGCCACACTAAGATACCACCTAACTCCAGTCAGTATGGCCATCATTAATAACTCAAAAAACAACAGATGCTGGAGAGGATGCGGGAAAAAGGGAACACTTCTTCACTGTTGGTGGGAGTGTAAACTAATACAACCTCTGTGGAAAACAGTTTGGCGATTCCTAAAAGTTCTAAAAATCGACCTTCCATACAACCCTGCAATCTCCCTACTGAACTATACCCAGAGAAACTCAAATCACTCTTTGAAAAAGATACCTGCACACATATGTTTATTGTAGCATTATTAACAATAGCAAGAACATGGAACCGACTGCTGCCCATCAAAAGAAGACTGGATAAAAAAAAATGTGGCACATATACAGGATGGAATATTACGCAGCCATAAAGAAGGACAAAATTATGAACTTCACAGCAACTTGGATGGACTTAGAGTCTATAATACTGAGTGATCAGTATACAGAAGAAAGAACTGAGTATCACATGTTCTCACTCATAAGCAGATCTTGAACAATTATCGCAATACTATAAGAAAGATGCTGGCAGTAGTGGGAATCTGCCTGGGGAAGGGGGGACACACCTTATCAACAAGGGTACCTGCATAATTAACATTTGTATACCTAACCCTGAATTATGCCCCACATCTTTAAAATAAATTTTAAAAAAATGTAAGTTGGTGTCATATTGGGGTATATAAATAAAGAAGGCTGAGTTTATTTTTGAGCAGTGAGGAGGCCTTAAAGGGTATTTATCAGGGGTGGGAAGGTGACATGATCAGAGTGGTATGAAAAGTAATTTGGAAATCTACTGAAATATGACCTCTACACCCACCCAAATGAAACTGCTCTTGCCAAGTTAAAAGGACCACCACCTCATTGCCAAATGCGGTTCTTATCCCACTGGGCTACAGTAGCATGAGACAACAAAAATTGTCTTTCAAATGCTATTATTTATTGACTTCTGCATTGTTATTCTTTTCCAGACTTTGACATCTCCGATTTCACTTTCTCTGTATCCCCTGAATCGTCTTCCTCTCCCCACCTGTTAGGTACTGATACTTCTGGGGCTTTGCCTTTGGCCCTCTTTTCTTGCCATTTTATTCCTGCTTCATAGGCCATCATGTCTAGACTCTGGCTTGCATGCTAATGATTCCTAAGTTTCAGGCCCCCCCCCCTATTTTTCTATCCTGGCTATACCAAACTGCTTGCAGTGTTCTGAATGTCACATTTTCCCCTCAAGCCTTTCTCATTGAGTAATTCCAAGTCTATCAGCCTCCCTGCCATCTACCTGGAAAACTTCTGCACATTGATCAAGATCCATATTGCTCATTACATCCTCAGTTATGCCCTTCTTGGTGCTTCTAAGGGACTGTGCCTGCATTCACTCATTGTTATACCCAAGGTTGTGTCTACTGATCACTTATGAAGTACTTGTCTCAGAGTTTTTGTAACAGAGGACTCTGCTCATCTGTCTTCCTGCTAGTCTGTCAGCAAGAGAACAGGATTCAGTCCTTCTCATCACTTTATATTGAACAATTAGTACAGTTTCTAAGACATAAGGGGTGGATTCTCAAGACTCATTGGTGAATAAATCTTGGAAAGATCATTCATGCTACCAAAGCTCCATACAAGTCTACTGTAATGATTAAGTGTGTTGCTTACTTCTGTGCAGGATCCTTATGTGCACAAAGGTGACAATGGACTACTTCCTGACAGCCCACCACGAGATGGGGCACATTCAGTATGATATGGCATATGCCACACAACCTTTCTTGCTAAGAAATGGAGCCAATGAAGGGTTCCACGAAGCTGTTGGGGAAATCATGTCACTTTCTGCAGCTACACCTAAGCACTTGAAATCCATTGGTCTTCTGCCACTGGATTTTCAAGAAGACAACGGTATGGACATTTTCTCATGGTTTGTCTTGGGGGTTCTTTAGTCTAACATGGGTAAAGGTATTTATCATCATATGCTGGAAATATCTACTTTTTGCCACATAATGTATAAGGTACTTATCGGTGATTGAAAATCGCTACTGGCAAAAATTGTTTTTAAAAGTATACATAGGAACATGTCAACTTGTGGTTTTGTATTATTGAAAAGGGAATAAGAGAGATAACTGAATGAATGGTCTCAGGATCCTATGAAATATCTAACAGAAGTTTGTTTTTTAAAGATGTTGTAACAGTCTTATAGAACTGAAATTGTTGGTTCAATTAGTGTCAGAACTCTGACTGGATTCCTCTGGTTCTAGGCAAGAGCTTTCCAAAACTTTAGAGTTGGAACAGATTCTAAAAGCCATTTTATAGAGGAGTAAGCTGAAGATTAGAGAAAAAGTAGCCCAGAGTCAAAAAGCAACATGGTGGCAGAACCAGAACCAGAACCAGAACCAGAGCCCTAATCAAAAGCTTTTCCCATAATATGCAAAGCAAAGTGTAACTTGAAATTTGGCAGTTCTTAAAGAACAGGTAGTTTAATATCAAGATTAGAAGGGACTGAAACATTCTTTGTGTCCAGCTGAAGCATGAACACAACACATGTTCAGGAGTCCAAATTTTTCAGTGTGGATGCCATGGTTTTTTATTCTTCCTTGTAAAAGAAGGACGATTAAAGTTTAGTACCTTCTTCTCTTCCATGTACTCTCTCTCCCCTCACTTTAGTTATTTGTGACATAAAGATCAGTTCTTCTGGCTGGAGCGTTTGGTCAAAGAGGTCAGTCATGAGCTCCATTCTTGGCTGGACAATTCACTTTGCCTTGATCTCTGACTTCAGATCCTTGGTAATCCCAAAAGGACCTGGGAGCAGGCCAGTGTAAAGTTGATCATCATGTCTGAAATAGTTACTGTAAGCACAGACCCAGCAGGTTATAAACCAGTAGCAGCATCCTCCCATAAAGAGATCAACAAAGGAAAGATAGATAATAGTAACCACACTCACTTCCTAACTCTAAAATATTCATTCAAGTCAATGAATAGATAATTTTTTGTTTTGTTAATTATTTAATAGTCCTTAACAGCAGATGAAAATGGCTGATCACTATGTTTCTTAAGATGATATTAGATATGGTTAAACCCACTGGTTTGGAAAACTGCTTTTTTCCTTGGCTCTGCCCATGATTTCTGAATAACGTTAAGCAAATAAATTCCTTCATTTCTTCTATCCCTTCTCCCCTTCCTCACTTCCTTTCTTGTTCCAAACATATTTATCAGGCACATACTACGCGCAAGACATCTTTCTTTTTGCCACATAGTTATAATGTATTTATGTATACCTTAGAGATACAGTGATATACAAAGTAGATAACATCCCCTGCTTACATTCCAGTGAGTTGTCTTTGTACACTAGAGATGAACTTCCCTACCTCTTTATGACACTAATGAAGGATAAAATGAAATAACATGATTTGTTAAAGCATTTTACATTCTTGGTAAGGAAGATATGAATACATTTAAAGTACATTGTACTCTTGATCATCAGTGGGTGGTGCCCTCTAGGGTGACTCTTATTTTTTCCCCTCCCTGGCTTACTGGCTTTCACTGAATCTATTTAGCATTTGTTTATTTAACAAAGATTCACAAAGGGCATCACATAGGCAGACACTGGACTAGGTATACAATCTTGAATGAAATATTAACTGTCACTGCCTTCCTGGAGCTTTCAAGAATAAACAGTATGATTGGGAAAGTAGATGAAATAGCTCTAACGAACTCTGATAAGAGGTATTTAAACAAGGCAATTGAAACTATTGAAAAATGTGAGGATTACAGGTAACTTGTAGATTTTTATTTACCTGTTCTGTTCCAGGGCTTCACCACCCTACTCCAAATCCCTACGCTGACAAAATGAATATCTATTTAATTATGTCTACTGACAATGTATTTCTTATACAATCATCCTTATAGCAAATATATCTTGAGGGATATTTTGAAATTAGAAAAATTCTTTTTAACCCAAAACACCCACTGTCATCATCATCTTAATATTTATATTTTTTTCTTTTCACTTTCAGAAACAGAGATAAACTTCCTGCTCAAACAAGCACTCACAATTGTTGGAACTCTACCGTTTACTTACATGTTAGAGAAGTGGAGGTGGATGGTCTTTAAGGGTGAAATTCCCAAAGAGCAGTGGATGCAAAAGTGGTGGGAGATGAAGTAAGTCAATAAATATGCAATCAGTAAAATGTTTTCTTATGAGTTTGCTGTTTATTTAAAAGCATTTGACCTGCCTGTACACACACACACACACACACACACACACACACACACACACACTAACTTCTTCCTTTTTATATTTTCAATCTCCATTTGGGTGCCAACTCTCAGATAAAATTTCCTTGACTCTGCCCCCTACCTTGGGCCAGGGGACACTACTTCATGCCCTATATTCTTAAGTATTGTGTCACTTATTAAACTGTGATATTATGTAGGAAGTGACCAATTTATTCATTGTGTGTATTCTTTTATCCATTCTTTGAAACAAAAATGTTGACCCCACATTTTAGGCAAAGCACTGGGATCCTGTGCTAGTTATTTAAGGTGTGGTGGTCCTTGGCCCACCAAAAAGTTTGATCTATGGTAGCATATGGAAATCTAAGCCACTGCAATGTGTAATGTTGTTGTTGTGTTTTTTTAGATTAGAAAATATAGTTTATTTAAAAACTAAATTAGAAAGAAAGAGAAAAAGGAGATTCACCTCTCCAAGGTAGGGAAGGGGGCCAAAGCTTAAGAAAACATGGCCTGGCCATAGCTCCAAGAGCACATAGCCACACCATAGTTTAGCAAGGCAATGGCCAATGTGTAGTGTTTGATGGAAGGGGACAGGATCCATGAGTATATAAGGGGAGATCCAAAGCCCAACTTGGGGGGTCAGATGAGGCAACCAAGTTGTTACCTGGGAAAAGTGTGTAAGTTGACCAGATGTGGGTGGAGGGGAACAGAGAAAATTCCAAGCTAAAGAGAACCTGGCACATTTGGGCAACACAGTGCCTCACACTGTGCCTGGTACATGCAAATATGAAATTAATAGGTTTTGGATGAAATAGTTAGAAAGAGAGAGAGAGAGAGAGAGAGAGAGAGAGAGAAATCGATCATCTTTCCATCTTCATCAGACCCCTGTGAATTTTTCTTTGTTTTTCTTATTTTTCCTTTTTGAAGTGAAGACATAATGTGTAACATGCAGTCCCACATCCATAGGTTTAAAACAGTACCATTTCCCCACATCCATAGGTTTAAAACAGTACCATTTTCCCATCAAGATTTTCTGTTAACAAACATCTTACTTGGGAAGAAGGAAGCAGCACCCATAATAACTCTTTCTGGCATTTAAATAATACTGAAGCTGTGTCTACAATGATCCCCCAATCTTAAGGGACAAATGCATTCCATTTAAACAATGCCAAATACATGGTTTCCCTATGTTTTTTTTCTGACCAGGTTAATTTTTTGATCACTGTTAGTTTATTTTAAAGGTACATGGACTCAGACCCTTAAAGTGATTCATTAATGCATAAATTGGTCCTTTAGCCATTTATCACATATAAATGAAGTCTTTCCTTAGTGTTAGGCACCATGTTTGACACTGGAACTATAGAGATGACTAAGATGCAGTCTCACTCTCTAGGAGCTCAAGTTTCCAGGGCAAGAAGGAGCTGTAGGTGAATAACTACAAAATGGAGAGAAATAGCAAAGGAGGCTTAGCTAAAGGAGGCTAAGGAAGATGGAAGGTGAGTGGATCAGGAGCAGACTTCACAGAGGAGGCAATGTTTGAGTTAGCTTTGGAGAATAAGTAAGATTTAAGTTTTACAAAATTCTGCTTGCCAGAAACATGTTAAGTTTGGAGCCTGAGTAAAATTATTAGGGCTTTCACTGTACATTTTTGGCTGTGTGATGCATTTTATGAATTTTATTAAATTACTGTTTTTGGAGACATAGCTATTTTCCAATAGTGTATTCTGGTTGGATATTAAAAAAATATATAAAAGATAACCACATAATGGACTTTACTGTGATTTTTTAAACATTGTTTCAATTTCACCTGAGAATCGATTCCAATATAAGTATCATTGACTGATTAAACTACACCAGTTGTGCCAACTTTATCTTCTCATGATAGGTGACCCACAGCTAATGTATTTTTTTTTCTTCCCAAAGGCGAGAGATAGTTGGAGTGGTGGAACCTTTGCCCCATGATGAAACATACTGTGACCCCGCATCTCTGTTCCATGTTTCTAATGATTACTCATTCATCCGGTAAATGACAGTTTTCTCCTTTTTAACTTTTAGCATTTGTGTACAGCTGTGCTAATAGTGACAAGGAAATAAGGATCAACAAATTGATACTTATAATTTTTCTTTCTGTCTCCACCTCCCCCACCCCAAAGCTCAATATAGATGCTCTTTGCCTTGTGATGGATTATGTCCCAATAAACCCATAATAAGTTAAAATATCTTTTTTCCAGGTTTTAAAACTTTATTTGCATATTTAAAAATTGTGCATTCCAATAATTAAAATCATTTGAACAAAAAAATGGCATCTGATTAAACTGTATTTTACAGCCTGCAGGACACCTTGGGCCACTCGATTGACTCTAGATTTCACTGTCGTCCCACCCCTCTTCTTCCTTCACCAACATGCAAGCTCTTTTCCTTCCCTGCCAGCCAGACGGAAAATGGGAGAGGCAGGCGCGGCCTTCGTTGTCAGTAGTTCTTTGATGTGAAAAGGGGTAGCACAGTCATTTAAACTTGATCCAACCTCTTTGCATCTTACAAAGTTAAACAGCTAAAAGAAGTAAAATAAGAAGGCAATGCTTGTGGAATGTACAGTGCATATTGGCGGCGCTGGCCTCATTATGATTCGCCTGCTTGCGAACAAACGAACGCCTGTTCGATCGTTTCTTTGGAGGGCAGTGGGTTTTTCTCTTGCGTTTCTGTCTTCTTCAGTTTCGACTTATTGAATTTCTCGATCTCAGCCATATCGGGTTTGTCAGACAAGGTCTTGGAGGGAGGAGAGAGAGGCTTCCGAAAGAGGGAAATCTGGTCTGCGCAGTGGCCAACACCAAGTCTAAAATATCTTAAGAATGCATTTAACACACCTAACCTTTTGAACATCATAGTTTAGCCTGGCCTACCTTAAACATGGTCAGAACACTTACATTAGCCTACAGTTTGACAAAATCAACTAACACAAAGCTTATTTTATAACAAAGTGTTGAATATCTCATGTAATTTATTGAATGCTGTACTGAAAGTGAAAAACAGAATGGTTGTATAGGTACTCACCATTAACACACACAGCTGAAGGCACCATTGTAAAGTCAAAAAATCATGAGTCAAACTATAATAAATTGAGGATTGTCTGTATAGATTATCAATTTCAATTCAATTTGACCCAGCACAATTTACTGGGTTAAATAAAACTTGTGTGAGATATTTCCCTCATCATCAAGGAATCAGTCATATCATTGGGAAAACAAAAAGTATTTTTGTTTTGTTACTGGCAGAGTTTACTGTGTATTGCAATAGAAAGATAATTTTTTTTTTGAGTTGGAATCTCACTCTGTCGCCCAGGCTGGGGTACAGTGGCACCCTGCTCGTGGCCACTGCAGCCTCGACCTGCTGGGCTCAGGCGATCCTTCTGCCTTAGCCTTCCAAGTAGCTGGAACTACAGGTCATGCTACTATGCCTGGTTAATTTTTTGATTTTTTGTAGAGACGAAGTCTTGCCAAGTTGCCCAGGCTGGTCTTGAAAGAAAGAGAATTTTTAAATTTGAAGTCCAAAGGTATATATTCTTACCCTATTAGCCTCAAACCTTGAATTTGCTGGACCTCAATTTCTTTAACTAAAATTGAAATAATATTACTAACCTGCTTTAAGGATAGATTAGCATCATTTCTATGAAAGGGTTATACATCTGTGAAACTCTTGCAAAATGCAAAGTAACATTTAACAAAGTACTTACTGCCTTGTTTATCAGTTGATACATAAAATGTAATTAGATTATGATGAGTCTGTAGAGTTCATTTCTGGAGAAAGAGATTTGACTAGTATCTCTGGTTACTTGAGGCCCAGAATTTAAATGTATGCCCCAATCTATTATTCTAAGATGGTAACTAAACATGGGCCTGCTTTTTTGTTTCTTTTTCTCTTGTACAGGTATTATACAAGGACCATTTATCAATTCCAATTTCAGGAAGCCCTTTGTCAAGCAGCAAAACATGAAGGCCCCCTACACAAATGTGACATCTCAAATTCTGTCGAAGCTGGGCAGAAGCTGTTGTAAGAAATGTCTCAAATGCTGATCCTCTGCTAGTATACAATATGTCTCATTTCTGTGCCTAGGTTTGAATTTGATTTCTTTGTTCCAAAAAGACATTTTTAAAAAATCTCAAAATGTCCTCATCCTCAAAGTAAATGTTTAATTGGTGGTCAGACAGGAACCTAGACCATGCAACGGCTGGATGAGCTGCCTCTTCTCTTCATATCATAACAACTACGGAGCTTCCTTTGTAGTATTGAAAGGAAAGAATGATTTCAGGCCAAATGCATTTGTTAATGTTAAATATACTTTATTTTCTTATCTGCTGGAATAAAATTTAGCCAAGTCAAAGAGAAGAAACCATAGATCATAGATGTAAGTATATATCCATCTGGAATCCCTCAAAAGGCTCTGAACCCCCTCTTTTTTACGTAGCCAGATGTTGAGGCTTGGAAAATCAGAACCCTGGACCCTAGCCCTGAAAAATATTGTAGGAGAAAAGAACATGAATGTTAGACCACTGCTCAGCTACTTTGAGCCCTTGCTTACCTGGCTGAAAGACCAGAACAAGAATTCTTTTGTAGGATGGACCACTGACTGGAGTCCGTGTGAGTATACCCAGTTGACACGTTTTGCATCTGCTTCCTGTCTGCTTAGTCTCATAAGGTCTGTGACATAGCTGAGTATGTTTTCCCCTTACATAGAATCTGCATCTGACTCTGCTGTAGTGGCAGCTGCTATTTTATGGGGGAGGAAGCACATCTGTTGAGCACCTATTATGTACCAGGCATAGTGAAAGCTACTGTACACACACACACATATGCATGGACATGCACACACTGCCGAGTCTGTTTTATTAGTCTTGTCTTTAAAATATAGACTAACAATTGCTCTTGAATCCTGCTCTCCAAAGACAAACACTTTTATACAATTTTAACACTGTCATCTCTTCTTTCTAACGGTTATTTCCATATTTCTAAATAATTTATTGATATTGTTATTGCTCAGGTTTAGATGTTTTGCTTGTGCCCAGTCTTCCACTTCCACTTCTCACTCTTCCAATAAAACTTTGTCATGATTTCTAGTAAAGCAGTCATCAGTGTTTACGTTACTATGCCAAGAGCCAAGTGCTATATTATTTTGTGTCCTTTCTTATGTGGTTTTTTTGCTTCTCCTGAAGTTTCTACTTGCCTCAAGTTTTTGGCATACCTGATTTGCTATCTACATTGCATTTGTTTTTTTTCCCCAACTATTTCAACATATCTGTTCTTTTCAGTTTCGTTTTTCCCTAGATACTTCCTTCTTAGAGTCTTACATTCTCCCATCTCAATCTGGACCACAGTTTTTATTCTGAGCAATTCCTTTGTTTTCCTGGGTTGAATCTCATGTTTTCTCAATTCCACATCTTCTTTTTTGGATTACCTTTTGTTTTGCTAAAACACAACCTCCAGGTGACTGTCTAACCAAGGGAGCATGGGGTAGGAGAATCTACCATTCTCTAAAGTGGTTTCAACCACATCCTGACTCCCATCCCCCTCATTTTTTGGCTCAGTATCCTCTTTCCACCCTTTGCTGTACCTGACTCCCACACCTCTCTGGCATTCTCTGGCTCTTTTTGGGTCTGTGCTCCCTCTGGGTAGACATTAGGCCATGGCTTCCTGTTCCTGGGAAAGAAGTTACCCCTCTCCTATCATTTCTCGTTTTCCAAAAGTGTATTTATACCTTTAAGAAAATTCCTTTGGTGGGATCTTGGGAGGGGAAGGAAATAAACATATGTGGTCAATCTGTCATCTGTAACCAGCAGTCTGTGATTTCTCTTTAATCAGATGCTGACGAAAGTATCAAAGTGAGGATAAGTCTAAAATCAGCTCTTGGAGAAAATGCAGTGAGTATTCTGGACAGTGCACTCATTGTTTTTCAGTGCACACTCTTCTCTTAAATAGGACACAGTGTAAAAGAGGAGAGGCCACATGGTTCTCTTCAAAACTATCAGCCTCAGATTCTAACTTTTGGTTTTTTTTTTTTTTTTAAGTAACCTATTCCTTATTAGATAGTCTATCTCTACTTTCTACTTATTTCCTTGAAGGTGTTAGGAATACCAGTGAGAACATCTGTACAAATCCTTAAATATCAAATGCCAGTCCAATTCTTTCCATTTACTCATATTGTCATTATTTTATTGAAGGAAGAGGACATGGTTATATTTTGAGGGGTTGTTTGTTTTCAAAAGCAGTATGGTTAGTTTTGTTTGTTTGTTTGTCTGTTATTGTTGTTGATTCGTTTGTTTTGTTTGGTCAATTATCTATTTCCTAGCTTTACTCAGAGTGTGGCCCATGGACCAGTAACATTTTAATAACCTGGAAGCTTGTTAAAAACGTAGAATTTCAGGCAGCCCTAGACCTGCTTAACTAGAATCTCCATTTTAGCAAGCCTTCAGGTGACTTACATAGTAAAGACTGGGAAGCTCTGATTTCAAAGACTGCTTCTCAAACTTGGCTACACACTGGAGTCACACAGGAAGTTTAAAAAATATTATTCAGCCATAAAGAAGGACAAAATTATGGACTTTGCAGCAACTTGGATGAATTTAGAGTCTATAATTCTCAGTGATCCGTTACAGAAACAAAGAACTGAGTACCACATGTTCTCATTCATAAGCGGACCCTGAACATTTATCATCATACTGTAAGAAAGAGATTGGCAGTAGCCAGACAGCGCCGGGGAAGGGAGGGCACATAACATTAATTGGGGTACCTGATCTCAAACCACATGAAGTGGGGACCAAAGGGAGGCCCAAACTTTACCCATATGATGACCACTTATATACCTAATCCTGAACTGTATCCCACATATTTAAAATAAATAAAAATGAAAAAATATTAATGCCTGGGTTCTAGGTGCATTGACTAGATTCAAAGATTGTGGTTCTACCCCCTTACCCTTCCTGAGAAGTTAAATGTTGTCCAAGACTCAACAAAACTTTTAGTATGATTTTCATAGATAAGTAAGACATCAAAATATAAACAACACCGTAGGAGCTTTTTTTTTTTTTTAAAGAACATTTAAGAAAGAAAAAATTAAAAAGGGAAGTGCATTGCTTCCCAAACACTCTGATAGTTTTAATTCCTAGTTCTTTTTTGGGGGGGATTGGAGTCTCACTCTGTTGCCCAGGCTGGAGTGCAGTGGCACAATCACGGTTCTCCACCTCCTCAACCTCCTGGGCTCAGGTGATCCTCCAGCCTCAGCCTCCTGAGTGGCTGGGACTACTGGTGAACAGCACCATGCCAGGATAATTTTTTGTTTTTTTTTTTGTTGGTAGAGATTAGGTCTCGCTATGTTGCCCAGGCATGAGTTCCTATTTCTTAATAATCATTGAGTGTCTGTGGAATTATTTATCTTTCTGTCATATTTTTGTTAGGTCTTCCTTGACCTAATATGTTTTAATTACTCCTGGAAAGTTAGAATCCTTTTCAATGATCCTTTTCGTGAACATTAATCCTCAAGTTCTCTTTCCATGCAGTGAGGGTTGGTAAATAGTCTTCAGAAGGCTTGATGGGGCAGTTTTCTGAGGCCAATTCACTGAGCAACAGGTTGCTTTGATAGACCAGGCCAAACTTTTAGTGCATCTACACATCAAAATATCTGTCCAGTTTAAGCTATTTCATGGTGAAGTCCAGTTGGATCTAGGACAGAGTTTGAGAACTCAGCCCTTAAAACCTTTTAAAGTACAGACATAGTAGACAGAATATTATTAATAACAATATTACTATTAGAGCATCTCTTCCACCAAACCTGGGTGAAGCCAAACTGAAGCAAATTTAACAATTCTTTTGTGAAATATTTGTTTTTTTTTTTTTTTAAAGGGAAAGGAGAAACACAAAACGTACCATTCATTAATCTCTACTGCCAGCTACTGGAGAAAAGAGTGAATGTGTTCTTTTCTTTAAGCTATGCAAACAAGCACTGGAAAACAAGAACAAACAGATTGTCTTGTTGATTACAAAGTGTTATTTTTTTTCTTTGAACCTCAAGTTTCTTTTTCTTTTACACTTATAATATGCAGTACATATCTGAGAACTTATTATGAAAATAGTAAAAACTCAGTTTGTCTTCAATGTGCAGACATTTTAAGTAAAACCCACAACTTCTGTTTGGCTCTCATTCATAAACCTGTACTCAGGGTTTTTATTTCAGTTTACACCAAACCAAGTAAAAGGACCAGTGAACCTAATGGTTCCTAAAGTGTGGTTGCTTGGTCAGCAGCATTAGCACCCCCTGGGAGTTTGTTAGAGATGCAAATTCTTGGGTCTCCTGCCAGACTTCTGAATCAGACACTCTGGAGGTGGGCCCAGCACTAGCCCTCCAGGTGATAACGTATTCACACTCACGTTGGAGGTGACTGACTTAATGAAGAGCCAGAATCTTAGGAATAGTAAGAATAATTTTTGAGGAGTATTGGGTTTTGTGTCCTATGAGGCTTGCTGAGCAGTGTCTTTCTTCTGAATTTGCAGTACACGTGGAATGATAATGAGATGTACTTCTTCCAGTCAAGTGTTGCATATGCCATGAGAAAGTATTTTTTAGTAGTCAAAAACCAGATGATGCCTTTCGGGTGAGTTGATTTGCTGGGTTCTCAAGTTACTCCAACTAGCATTTCTCTTACTTTTGAGTCTGAAAAGATATTCTGCTTAAACTTTTCTTCAAATGAAACTAAGAAAAATCTGACAACTTTTAAACTTCTTTGGCATCCTGGCATTTGGGTGACTCTACTGAGGGATGATTGCAGTTTATTTGACTTGTAGAGGGAAAGAACGAATGTTCTTATTAAACAGTACTAGCTCTCTCCTCTCAAAATGCTCTTACACCCCTCAGCACTGAAAGAAAAAGGCAGAACTCTCTGCCTTCATTGTGTTATGTGCGCAGATATAAAATAGTACAATGACATGATAATAAGTGTTGCCTGGTGGGGTGCTGTGACCAGCAAAGTCTTAAAACAATGTTTATTAGAAAGATGAAGAGAGGGAAAATGGAAGATTCATGCTGGAAAGGCCTGGCATGGGCATGTCTCTTGAAAGAAAAACTGCTTTTGCTCTCAACTCAAAGCTAGATATATTTTCACAATAATTGATATTCTAAAGAGGGTGGGCATAGGTAACCACTCTGGAGAGACTGACATCTCTCTACCTCTGATGGGAGGAATGGTGATCTTTTCCAGAACATGCATTTTGTCTTTGTAGGAGACTTGCCAGGCTTTTGAATACATAAGTACATGAGCTAAAAGGTGGTAATCATTTCTATGACTTTAGTTAGTTAAGGAGCGACGTTTAGCCTTCTACCTTCAACAGGGAACCTGAAAGATTTTTAGTGGTTATTATGCTAAAACATAAACTGAAAGGTTGGGCTGTCCTATTCTTACATGTGATGAGATTTTCTTTTGATTGGCCAAGGGGGTGAGGAGGCTGGCAGGTCTGCATTCCAACTTGGCCAGCAGTACAAATGTAATAAGAAAAATGTCTGATCACTTCCTAAAACCTGCCTACAAGAAATTTATCTATCTATGCCTATCCTGTACTAGCTACCTTGCCTCAGTAAGTGCTAGAGAGAAAAACAGAACTGAAACAGGGCTGGGGAGTGTGTGTGTGTGTGTGTGTGTGTGTGTGTGTTTGTGTGTGTGTGTGTGTGTGTGTGTTGGGTGTTGGGGGAGGGAGAGTTCAATTTTAACCAAAATGGTCAGAAAAGACCTCACTAATATTTGAGAAAATATATGAAGCAGAAGAGAGAGAGAAAGCCAGCAATGCAGACAGTTGGGGAAAGCGTTTTAGCTGGGGTGGAACAGCAGGTCCAGATTCCAAGGAAGGAATATCCTTCACCTGTTGAAGGAACAGCAAAGAGACAGTGTGTCTGGAGCAGAGTGCCTATGAGAAGACAAGAAGAAAAAGTAGAAATGGTTAAGGCAATGTTGGGGCATAGGGGCATGAGGGAAAGAGGAAAGTTTATGTGGACCTTGAAGGCCATTCTAAGGACTTCGGCTTTTATTCTGGGTGAGATGGGTAGTCACATGAGGGCTATGAGACACATGATCTGCCTTATTTTTTACTAGGACAACTCAGGTGGCTACCAGAGCACAGTATTGTCATATCATATAGTAAACCCCAATTCATTACCTTCACCTGTGGATGTAACATGACATTTTCTGCTGGATAGGGCCAGGTTGGGGATGTAAGTCTCCATCTGTGGTACTGAACCATTTCTGTTCACCAGATTGTTGCAATCCTGGGTGACCAATGACTTCTTGCTGATTATTCTGGCGCTTTCGGTTTGACATTTTTCTATCCTTGAAAAAGATGAGGGTTTCCTATGGAGGCAAAGCAAATAGTGCCAAGACTTAATATCACAACTTTTATGTAGTTGGTTTCATGTGCTTTGGGCAGTGTTAATTTTTTTGACAATTACACCCTCCTGTTGTTTGCCCTATCCCATGTCTCTCTACCCTGTGGTCCTCCTCCAATTTCCTTTTCACCAGCAAAGGATGTCTTCATTCTTTTTATGGTGTCCTCTGTGCCTTAAGAAAAGATGTTTCTTTTGTTCCATAGGGTGGAGAATGTGTGGATAAGTGACCTCAAACCAAGGGTCTCCTTCAACTTCTTTGTCACTTCACCTAAAAACCTGAATGACATCATTCCTAGAACTGAAGTTGAAGAAGCCATCAGGTAATATTTTACTTTCAAATAAACCATATAAGGGTGAGAGGATTAAAAATGCAACAACAACAACAATAGCAAATACTTAGTGCTTTCTTCTTGTATCTCAGGCATTGTTCTGAGTCATGTACATGTTTTGCCTCATCCTCCATACTTGGGTTGTAATTCCAGAAGGATCGCATAGCAAGGGAATTATCTTGATTTGGGCCCCCAGATGCAGGCCCTTAAACAAGGATTTGAGTGTGAGTAGTTTATTTGGGAGATAATCCCAAGAAGAACTGATAGGGAAATATGGATACGAGACAGAGAAGGGAAGTAAGACAATAGATTACACGTTATCAAGGAAGTTACCACTATGGGTAACTAGAACTCAGTTTTGCTGGGAAACTTGGGAAGACCATGTAGAACGTCCACCTGAATTGTCCCATCAGAGGGATGAGGCTCCCATCAGTCATTGGCTGGGAACTGCTTCCAGGTGGCATTAATTCCCCAGCACTTCTGACTTGTAGACTGGGCAGATCTTGTGGTCCAAGAATTCTTCAGGCAAAGGGAAGCAGGTGCTGGCTGAAGGAAGTCTGGTTAGCACTCATGGAAAATAGTAGGTGCAGAAGAGACATGGACAGGTATTGCTGTCATTTGCTCTAGGGACTTTGATGTAGGATTTATTTAATCACCCAAAGCCTGAAACAAGGTAGGCAAGCACAGAATTCCTTAGACATTAGTTAGCCTTTATGCTGGGAGAGGGACTTGCTATGGGCAGTGAAAGTTTAGAAGAAATAGTTTGTCCAATTTGCCTCAAGTGTTTCCCACAACAAATAGCAGGAGTGAAGAATGGATCAACCTTGTAGATGGTTCTCTTTGTCATTTAAAAAAAGGCTTAATATACCCACTGCTACTGGGAAGGATGCTCTCTAGGTGGCCCTCTTGAGCTGTGTCAGCAAGTTCTATTCATCTTTGGAAGCAGATCTAAGACCTGCTGGGCAAAGTATGCCAAGAAAATCTGGCTTGATTGGAGTGTATGAGTCCAGAGACTCACTGACAGCCTCCAAAAGACTTGGGGAAAGTTCCAGCTGAGATCTTCATGAAAGAGCCAAGTCTTCGTGGATACCCAGCTGTAAGCTGCAGAAGACCTTAAACTTTCTGCTTTTAGAATGACTCTTTAGATCTCAGGCTAAGGTTGCCATGGGTTACATGGCTAACTCTGCTTTGACCTCTCCCCCTCTGTGGTGGACCATGACCTCTTGACCTGGGCTGTAGTAGGAGGATGAGGTGCCAGACACTTTGGTCTTCGGTCCAAAATATTCTTCACTCCATTTCACTTTGGGTTTGTGTGTGTGTGTGTGTGTTTTATCTTCATCCTTTGGCCTCCATAAAATTTAACTATTTCCCAATTTCCCATCTCAGTGCTGAAGAAATTGGCAAAGGTCCTTTTCCTGTGTTTTTTCCCAGTGCTGCCTCCAAATGCCAACATCTTTTATTTGGAAAATACTACTACAAAGACATAGGTATAGGGCCTGATGTGTTTATAGAGGAAGTATATTTAACTATCTTTTTCCATTATTTGCCATAAAGTCATTGTAGATGTACTCTGACAGAGAAATTCTTGCCAAATGTGTTAACTTTGCCTTTAAAACACAGAAATCACAAATAAACAAAAGCCAACCATTTGTACATTTCTACACTTGCAATTCAATTTTCCATTGAAGCTGTTGACAAAGCTAATCTGGGTTACAGGATATGAAAGGTACATAATTGTTAATAACCCATATCTTTCATTTGACATGATTATTTACTTTGCTTTCATTATAATTTTGAGCATACATTCTTATAAGCTTTATCAAATTATTTTGGGAATAGTGACATAAGGAAAAAATAACTACACACGATTTTATTTTGTCTACGTGTCCCCTTTGCTGTGTTTTACTTTTGTGAATAGGATGTCCCGGGGCCGTATCAATAATGCTTTCCACTTGGATGACAACACCCTGGAATTTCTGGGGATTCAGCCAACACTTGCGCCTCCTTCCCAGCCACCCATCACCATATGGTTGATTGTTTTTGGAGTTGTGATGGGAGTGGTGGTGGTTGGCATTTTCGTCTTGATCTTCACTGGGATAAGAGATCGAAAGAAGTAAGTGACCTTTCCTAGATTTATCTATCCTAAAACTGGAACACTTGCAGTTAGTGGTTAGTTGTACAGGCCAATGACTTAGTTGAACAATTTTTCACCTAAATATTCTGATGCATCCCTTAGAAATTTACCAGATGTCACCAGCACTTCTAGAGAGCCCACACAGTAGATATCCGACCTGGGGTTTCTTAGCATGCCCTAGTAAACTCCATCCCAGTCACAGTGTCCTCTCCCTCCTGCAAAGAGACACTGCAAACTCAGCAGGGGTGGGTAGGCTCAGGGGAGTGTTTTCACTGCTGAATTCTCCTTAGTCTGAAAGCGACCCCGGAGACTGGATTGGTGATGAATTTGAACTGTGAAATTGTTCAAGAATGAGCTCTGAGATTTGCTTCAAACTGCTATTCTTTAATCACCTTTATTTATCCTCAGGTAGATCAGACTCCATATCATCTCCTTAGTTCATGGTCAGGCATCCTCTGATTTTTTCTTAAGTTGAAGATCAAAGTTCATTGAAAATTTAAATCACTTAGAGACCTGATTTCTAGCCTTGCTTTGCCACTAGATGTTTTTCTTCCAACCTTGGGAAATAATTGACTTTTGTTGGGCTTATAAAATGAAGGTTAATAATATTTTATAGCACCTAACAAAATCTATGCACATCTCAGGTTGTTTAAGCATATTCTTGGTTGAATCTATATGTGCTCATGTATTTTGCTCAATTTTCTTCACTGTAGAGATTTTTAATTTCCAAAGTAGCTTCATTTAAAAAATTAGGCATTGAATAGGCATCCACATTCATGTAAATAAAATATTAAAAGAATACATGAAGAATCCCTCTTTCACCTTTTGCCTCCATGTTCCCTACCCAAAGTCAACCAAAATTATCAGTTTCTTAGAGATATGTAAGTATATATCCTTTTTAAGTATATAAATGTTAACAAACAATATACAATGTTCTGCACAGTCTTTTATTTTCTACTTGTGTTTTAGAGATTGTTCCATATTAGTTGCACAAACAACGTCCCTTTTTGTTCTGGCAAATAATATCCCATTTTATGGGTGGATTGTAATTTTGTTAACTAGACCTCTTTTTTTTTTGAGTCGATGTCTCACTCTGTTGCCCAGGCTGGAGTGCATTGGCATGCTCAAAGTCACTGCAGCCTCAAACTGCTGGGCTCAGGTGATCCTTCCACCTCAGCCTTCCAAGTAGAATTGGAAGTAGCTGGAACTACAGATGTGTGCTACCACATCCAGCTGATTTTTAAAAAATTTATTGTAGAGATAAGGTCTCACCAAGTTGCCCAGGCTGGTTTCAAACCCCTGGGTTCAAGCAATTCTCTCACCTCTGTCTCCCGAAGTGCTGGGATTACAGGCATGGGATTACTGGCCATACCCAGTCAGTCCTCTACTGATGGACTTTTATGTTGTTTCTAAATGTTTGTGTTTATAAAAATGTTGCATTGTAGTATAGATAATTTTCTGTGTATGCCAATATATCTGTAAGATAAATCCTAGCAGTAGTAAAACTGGGTCAAAGTATATGTGAATTACTAACTTTGGCAATATTGCCAAATTTCTCTCAATAGAGGCCGTACCAGTTTATACTCATATTAACTATTTATGAAACTTCCTGTTTCCCCAACTCCAGCTTCCTTAACACAAGGTGCTACCAAACTTTTTGATCTTCATCAATCTGCTTGGTAGAAAGTGTCTCCATATCACTATATTAAGGTGACTTTGCTTTAATTTAACAGGAAAAATCAAGCAAGAAGTGAAGAGAATCCTTATGCCTCTGTGGACAGTGGTAAAGGAGAAAATAATCCAGGATTCCAAAGCAGTGATGATGGTCAGACTTCTTTTTAGAAAAATCTATCTTTTTTCCTCCTGAGGTGATTTTATTATATATAAATGTTAATTTCATGGTACATAAAATATGAGATTATAAAGATGTCATTAAATATCAAAACTGTGACTCTGTTAATGAAAAATTGTCCAAAACCCACATGGCTAAGGAGAGAACCTCTTCGTTGATATTGCTTTCAGTATTTATTTCTGTCTCAGGATTTGACTTCTCTTCTGTTTCCTAATAGGGATGATTATACTAAAGAATAATAGGGAAAGTGCATCTTTGGCCTCACAGGCTGTTCAGGGATAATGGAAATGGAAATGCTTGTTGAGTTACAGGAGTTGGGGGAAAAAAAGATATATCATAGATGCAAGTGTTGGTCCTTGTATGAAATCTGGATGGATCATTTGTAAGGACAGTGCCTGGGAAGTGGTGGAGTTGCCAGAATTGAAAATGGTACACTCCACTTACTTGCATTTAATCCAAACATAAAGGAGGATATGCTTCTTTCACATTAACTTAATCCAAGCACTATAGTGATTTTCCCACTTTGATGTTTGGAATGGACCATGCTTTCTTCAGTGTGACAGGTCTAAAGAAGAGAGAATTCGGGGAACAGGTAGAGGACATTGCCTTTTCATGTTCAAGCTGCTTGATCAACATCTCCCTGATGATACCATACAAACACCGGGGACCTCCATGAATCCCCAGAGCTTACCCTTTAGAAACTCACTTCCATTATTCTCTAACTGTGGAGTGAGTGGAAATTCTAATGGAGTGTTCATCCTCTGAAGTGGGTACCCAATCTCTTAAATCTTTTCTATTCACCCACAGTATCTAAGTAGTGCCGAGCAAAAGCAGACAAAAATACAAGATTTATAGACTCCTGTAGTTTTATGCAATCTTATATGCTGACACTTCTGTCCATTCTGTCTGCTTTTCATTTCTATGGACAAAATTGTCATCTGAGTGTCTTGGACACGCAACATCCCAAATGTCTTGGGATATGTTGCAAATTCTCAAATTGCTTTATTGTACAAAGCAATTGTAAACTTAGTACAAAAATACTTTTGTTCAGATTGTATATACCATCGGGTCAGGAACCAAATGTGATACTACTTTTATATTTCTGAGTCCCTAGCCCAGTGTGAGCACAACATCTACTACATTCCTGAAGATTGATTAAAACTACATTAAATAACAACATATCCAAACTTTCCTCATTAACTCATCCTGTGTGGTGACCAGCATAATGTTAGAGTGACTTTGTACTTAACCATTGTATATAGTAATAGCTAAATCAGGCTGGGTAATTTGAGGCTCTTCAATGTCCTTTAATTATCTGATACTTGGGTAGCAAAGATAGAATTCTTTGTTATTTCATGAGATCTATGTCTCTCCAGTCAAGCTTTCTTATCACCATCTGCATCACCATCCTGCCATTCATTGAACCCACAGCTTGGGACAACATACAATAGCATTTCCTCCTCGGCTGTATAACCATTTCATTGACATCTTTTTCTTTTATTCTTTTATATTGCATATGTTCCATCTTCTCCAATACATCATGAAAATCTTCTGCCAAGCTGCTACTATTGAAATGTCCCTCGTAACAAAAGTATGGATTTCGCAGCAACTTGGGTAAATTTGGAGTCTATCATACTCAGTGATCTATCACAGAAACACAGATCTGAGTACCACATATTCTCATTCATAAGCAGACCCTGAACATCTATCATAATACTACAAAATAGAGATTTGCAGTAGGGGGACACTGCCAGGAGAGGGGGCATGCACATAATGTCAATAAGGGTGCCTGATCCTAATTCAGGTGACGTGAGGTCCAATGGGAGGTCCAAAACTTCAGCTGTATCTAAACCACTTATGTATGTAATTCTCACTTGTACCCCACAACTTTAAAATAAAATAAAATTAAATTTAAAAAAATGTTGTAGTGAATAATGTTTTGCTTTGTAATAGGCTCTGTTAACTCCCTTACTCTATTGCAAGCTTAACCAACTCAGTTTGGTGTTACCGATAACACTGTGAACTACCTTTTGGTAGCCACACCAAGAAATGAGGATCATAAATGTTAGTATTGACAATATGCAGCTGTAAGTTAAGTTTATACAATGCTCTGTCAGTCACATAGTCAACATATAGGTACCAGGAATCCTAAACTTATAAAAATGGACTGTGAAACCTGAGGGGTGAGTAGACCGGTTCCAGAAATACCAGAAGCTAGATTCTGTCTCCCTGAATTCTGATTTTAGAAATAAACTTCTTTCTGCCAATAAATAAATAAATAACACTTGTAGTTGCCACATTCTATTTGTGACGTTCCTGGTCCTTGTCTTGGTTCAAGAATTATCTCTACAGGAGGAACAAATTTCATCACCTAAAACCTTCAAGAGCCTTCTGAGCCATGGCACAGACCCATGTACATGTAGCATAGTGTCACACAGAAAGTATAAAAATATGTTTCTCTCCATAACTTAAATTTGGGGTTTTCTTCAGCATAGTCTTCACTCTGTCTACCGGGTAAAACTTGTCGTGGTCCTTCTACCATGCAGCAGCCTCTCAAAAATGGAGACTTTACAAAGAAGGTCCTGTACCTGGGCCTAAGATGGGAGTTGGCAAACTATGGCCAATGGGTTAAATCCTTCCTGCCACTCATTTTTGTATGGTTTGTGGATGAAGAGTGATTTTTACATTTTTAAGTGGTTGAAGAAAATAAAAAGTAGAATATTTAATGATACGAAATTCAAATTTCAGCATTCATGAATAAAGTTTTATTGGAACCCAGTCACACCCATTCATTTTCTTATTGTCTAGGGCTGTTTTCATGCTACAAGGCAGAGTTGAGTAGTTGAGGTAGAGACCGTAAGGCTCACTAGGCCATTTTCAAATGTTGCTGACCCTTGGGCTATAAGGAAGCTAGGATGAAATGAAATTACAAATGTGAAAGGGCCATAGTGGAGCTCACAGACCCGAGAAATGTTTGTCTGTGGAATCTGAAGCCATTCACTGAATGTTTCCTTCCTGGGAATTTATTTCTTATGGGGTGGTGTCTGGCATTGACAGAAGTAGTCAGGCCAGAATGGGCAGGCGCTACCTACCCCTACCCTGGTAGCTCTAGATGAATTATTCTCCTTCATTTGAAATTCTTCCCATTCCCCATTGAGGTAAACATGGGGTCTTAGGTCCAATCTCTCTTTCCCATATTCCACTCCCAAGTTAGAATAAAAACAGAGAAGCTCGACTTCCTAATTTTACTATGTTGGAATTTTTCTTTTAATTAACTCAAGTAGATATGACGAGAATTTTGTCAGACCCTCTGGACTTTGTGTTTGGCTTTTGGCAGATCAGAAAAAGCTCGGCAAGACTGGGGTGTATCTGTTGCATTTTACCTGGTAAATACTCTATCTGAACTTGCTCTCTGACCTGCTCTTTGGGAAAGTTTCTTACCATGTGGTCTACCTTTTTCTTAACTCCCAAGAGAGTGTAGGCAGACTTTTGGTTTAAAATAACAACAATAAAAGCTGGATATCACTACTAAACACAGTTAAACAGCATTGAAAAAACATCATGTGTGTTTTAAACAGTATGAATAGTGTTCCTTTACTTGATTCCTCGTAGCATCACTGGACTTATTTTCTGATAAACCTCTAGTAGTACCTTAAATTCTTGCTTGTCTTGATTTTTGAAGCTAGGCTTCTAAGCAAGGCTTTGGCTTCTTTTCATAGTTAACAATTCTGTATTGTTTGAATTTTGGCAACAAGTATGTACTACTTTTGTTATAAAGAGAATGATTTTTATAAGATAAATATACAAAAATAAGGAGAAGAAAGGAAAACAATCTTCAAGAGGCAGACCAGAAATCCCAGCCTGTGCCTGAGATCATTCTCTGAGGGAGTGAACCATCTGTGGTGCAGGAAAGGCTGGTGCCCCCCTGACTGTGGGCTCATTGAAAAGGAGTTGTGACACTTGTTTCTTCTTTTCCCCTGGGTAGGAAAGAACCTGGCACACAGTCAATATCACATAAATAAATAAATGTACAAATGCCCTGGTGACTATTTTAAGTAACATTTTATTATATATTGAGATTTGTGTATTTCTGTAAAAATAGAAGACTATTAACAAGTGTCATTTCTTTGCTGAGATGAAGAAATCAATGAAATGTCAAGAGGCAATATTTGAACTAATTGGTGGCTGAGGAAGGGAATGGGATAAGAGAGGGTATGAATGTCTCTGAAGGGAGATTATTGACTCTTATCTGGAAAATAGCAGCAAAGCTTAATTGTCTTTTCATTGAAATAGTGCCCTCCACATAACCTCTGTCTCCTTCTTTGACATTATAGAAAAGACAATGGAATACTTGGAAAGATATTAAAACCTGTAAGTTCAGCAGCAGGTCATGAAGGAGGGCATTTCCAGGAAAAAATTTTTAAAGTTAAAATGCCTTTTAGTAATAGCCATGAGAAGTTAAAATAGTCTTTCTGTATCTTGGTGTTAAGATAGAAGACGGAAGTAGAAACGTTAGAAAGCAACAATGTAACCAGTTCTAGAAATAAGATCACAGTTAGCCTGAGATGAGATTGATAACGATTAAGAAAAAAGGCATCAAATTATACCTTAGCCACCTTCTTTTTTTTTTGGTAGTGACTATGTTGCCAAGGATGGTCTCAAACTCCTGGACTCAAGCAATCCTACTGTCTGGGCCTCCCAAAGTGCTCGGATTACAGGCGTGAGCCACTGCACCCAGTCTCTTAGTCACCTTGAAAATTTTCTCTACGTGAAATATATTCATTATATATTATTTAGTAATATTATTTAACTTTAGTTTTAATAAACAATGACATAAAGAGTTATTGCTCTAATCTGGATATCAGATGATAATTGTGTCATTTGTATTGAATTATGGACCACCTAACGATGCACCACCATGTGATGAGGCCCCCTAAAGCAGTTTAGAATGATGACAGCAGCAACATCTGGGAGTTGTTAAAAATACAATTTCACAGGCTGTACTCAGACGTGCTTTGCCAGAATCCCTGGGGTAGTTCCTAGGAAACTGTGTTTTAATAAACTCTCCATTTGGTTCTCATGCCTGCTAAAGTTTGAGAACATTGAAATATGAAGGCAAACGTCCACACTTCTGTACTTGGCAGAATATTTAATTATCATGATCGTGACAATATAAGGAAACGAGTGACTATCTAACAAATAATTTTTCAATTCTGTTAAATCTTTACACATGATACACACACTCTGTATATTGCAATCTGAAAATGTGCTTCTCCTATAGACTGGAAAGTGTTATATTAAGAGCAACATAAACAAAATTACTAATTTGACCTAAATTTTAAGGACATTTTTTGTTTCCTATCTTGTTCATTTCTAGGTAATAAAACAAACAGTACAGAGAACACTATTAAGAACTACCTAAATTCCATTGTGCCTTGCTACTTTCCTTAAAATGAATGAAATTGTTGGCCAACATCTATGTTCCTTCTCATTAGCACTCCTAATTTCTTCTTCAAGGCTTGTCTTTTTCCCGAAGTGGTTCAATGGATGATAGGAGTTGCTGAAATGTAGGACGCTTTTCTGGAAGCTAAACAAAAGAAAAATCCAATGTTTTAGATGATGAAAGCTATAATTACTGATAAAATATATAAAGTATTTCTACTTCAGTTTTAAAGCCAGTAACTTGTGGAATGTGGAAACACTACAGACATTTCTACTAAGGTCAGAACAAGGCAAGGACGCCTGCTGTAGCCACCTCTCTAAACATGTTGAAGGCATTCCCGATGCAACCAGAAAGTGTAAACAACAAGAGCCTCAGACATTGGGAAAAAAAGTTGTATTTATTTGCATAGAATATGA